CTCGACCGTGAAGGCTGCCACGTGGTCGACGTTCTCATGCGCAATCTTGAGCGCCGCAAAGGCCGCCGCAATGTGCTCGGCCATCGTTTTGGTTTCCGGCGAAATCTCCAAATGAGCTCCGGCCACACAGTTTCCTTGCGTATCCGGACGACCAATCGGGTCGGCTCCTTGCTCATAATGCACCAATCATACGCCACGTAGAGTCGTTACATGCATACGATTGGTGGACTGCAATAGATCAGATGACTGCCGAATTGAGTTTGGCGTTGAGTTGCAAACTTCAATGTGGGGAATTTTTTCGTGGCACCCTTGCCCTTGGTTGTTCCGCCGCGAGAGAGGGCGATGGACCAACATCCAGGTCGCCCACTGAGGCGCACTGTCGCTCCAGTTCTCCAGTTGAAGACTGTGCAGGGACCATGCAACCGAAGGCTGCGTCGCTCGGCGAAGCTCGTGGAAGCGACCAACGCGACAGTTCCTCGTCCGCAGCGACAGGGCGCGCCATAATACTCACATACCGTAGTGTCTTGGGCGATGGCTTCCTCGCTTGGAGCCTCGTCGTCGAAAGCTGTGGGGCTGCAGACACCAGACTGACGTCGATATTGCACTTTGAATGCGACGTCGCTGTCGTGCCACGTGGCACGGTCACCCTACCTCCTTTCAGACTGAGCGGCTAGAGGCTTATAGATGCTGCGTCATCAACACTGCCACGTCACGCACTTCGCACCTACTACCTCGTCCACCGCATCGCTTGTCCATCTTAGCGTGGTGTCCATGTACACCAATGACCTGCGAACTCTTCCGGTCAAGCTGGTCGGCCGGTCAACGAAAGGTGGACGATTGGCGTGAGCCCAGAGCAAGGTGCATATTTGATATACCCTTGGCCCAAGCTTGACCCAGAGATCCCGCCGTGTCGTCGTCCATCACATTCCAGCATATGTTTTGCGTGTTGAGTTTCAGGTCGGCATAAAACTCAAAAATCCGCAAAAAACTCAACCACAAACCAGCAGTCTGACGACGATGGTGACTATCACGGACGTCGGGGCGACGTACGTGCTGGTGCTGCTGCTCTTCCGCGCGCCGATGGGCGACATCCCATGGACGCACACCTTCGTCCTGCGCTACTCGCTCGTGGCGGTCGCGACCCTCTTGCTCATTCACGGCGCCTTTGGCACGATCTCGGACGAGTACTACTACGGGCTCGAAATCTTCAGCATCTTCAACACGATCTCCGCCTACATCATGATCCTCCAAGGCAAGACGTACCAGGACGAGGACTTGACCGAGAAGGTCGCCATCGTCACCGGCGCCAACGCCGGCATCGGCCTCGAGATTGCCCGCCAGCTCGCGCAAATGGGCGCCCACGTCATCTTTGGTACGACACCAACAGCGTACGCGATGCATGGCCTCTTCCTCCTGCGCATGTAGCCTGTCGGTCCAAGGAGCGCGCCGAAGACGCGATGAAGCAAGTCGCTGCGACCACAAGTTCATCCAAGCTCGAGTTCATGGCGCTCGACGTCGGCAGCTTGGCGTCAGTCCGAGCGTTCGCCGCCGAATTTCTCAAGTCGGGGCGGACCCTCCACATCCTCATCAACAACGCGGGTGTGAACCACTACCGCCGCCAGTACGATACCGTAGCATCGGTGTATCGCTTGAGGCTCATGCCACGTCCGTAGCGAGACAGTGGATGGCTTTGAGGCGATGTTGGGCACCAACTTCCTCGGGCCGTTCCTTCTCACCAACCTCCTGCTTCCTGCTTTGCTTCGCGCCGACGACGGCCGCGTCGTGAACGTGGGCTCGTGCGTCATGAAGGTATCTATCTTGCTGTCTCGGAGACTCCCGCTCTTATGTAAACACGTGCAGTGGGCGACCAAGATCCCGTTCGAGGACTTGAACACCAAGCACGACTACGGCACGGGCCAAGGCGTGTACAACTGGACCAAATGGGCCAACTACGTACGATTCTCTCCCGCGCGTGTATGCCTATCAATGTACTCTAGCTCTTTTCCCAAGAGCTGCACCGCCGGTACGCCGACACGACGCTGACGGTACGTTCACGCAGCAGCATTGTTTGCTGAGAATCCCACCGCAGGTCAACTGCGCGCACCCGGGACTGGTCATGTCCAACATGCAAAGAACATGCACCCGTTCTTGAACACGTTGGCCCATTGGTTCAACTGGCTGCGACCGTTCTTGCAGCAGACAGGCGAGCAAGGCGCGTACACGCCCGTGTTTGCTGCGACGTGCCGCCATCTCACTGGCGGCCACTACCTTGCGCGGTCCGAGATCGAAGAGCTGCCAGCACGCTTTGTGGACGCGGACTTGGCCAAGCGGCTCTGGGACGTGGCCTGTCCGCTGGTCGGTTTGCCCAAAGACTACTTTCCGACGCCGACGTTCGACTAACATGGGCGACTGGTAATGGTGATGCATTTGCGGGTAATATACATCTTCTGCAGCGATCATGTCAAAACGGGCTTGGGCCGAGTGTTGAAAATGAGCTTCTTCCGCGCAATGCCGACGACCGTGTAGGCGGCGCCACCTACGCACCACTATGGCGTTGATCGAGGCTCGCATGACGCACCGTCTTTGCGCATGATGGCCATGGGCTTGGCGAGCTTGGCAGCCTTGCCTTCGAGGAGATGGTTCCCGATGAGCAGCGTCGGCACGCCCTAAACACGCGGTGTCATGCTCGGGCTGGCAACGCGCCGCCGTACCTTCTTGTACTCGAGATGGCCAAGACCCAGCGAAGCCTTGGTCTCGCTAATGAGCTCACCTTGGAGCTCGATGATGGACCATTCAGGCTTGCCGTCTTCGCCGGCCAGTACACGCAGCGGGATCCGCATCGGTTCCAAGCGCGTTCTGCCACCCGCAGCAACGGCAAGCGAATGATACATACACTATTTCCTGTAATTGAGGGTGTAAAATGGTGTGCTTTAGAATCAACATTGCAGCTTCTTTGATACTGGATGCGTCCGCACATTATACATGTATATTAGATCGTTGTCTGCATCGCTCATCGCACAAGCGTATATATCGGTAGCCACAAGGCAGTCAGAGCGGCCTGCTTCCTCGATAACCTGAAATCACCGATGTTTTGGCTGGAAACAAACGTCCATAGACCGCCTCGGTGGAAACAGGGCTCCGATTGTCTGCACTGGGCGCTGCTCGGCACTGCATGGAAGGTTACACTGCAGCGGCGAGAGCGCAAGGACGGTATAATGACGACGATAGAACTTTTCTAAACAGTAAAGAACGTTCGCGCAAGTCGACCGAAAATGGTCGGTCGACTTGCGCGAACATATTCAATACGCCATAGCAAGGCGATGTACCAGTAGCGCTTACAAGCTAGAGCTCTGGTATCCTGCGATGCCTGTGGTATCCTAGCAACATGAAGACGAGTCGCAGAAAGTTCAACTGTGCAATTTCAACACTATTTCCAGCTCACTCGTATCCGGATACTTATGCGGACAGCTTCGAAAAACGATCTTTTGCCAAGAGGTTTTCACCTGATAGGACATTGGAGAATAAGAAAGGCCGGACGCAGCAGCAGTAGCATGGGCAACTCGCCGAGCGTGCTCGAGAGCATTACGAGCTTCAGCGACATCAACGACGTGCAGAAGGCGCTGCTCGAGACGCCCGACAGTGCGGCCATCGACGTCGTCCAGGCCTTTCACGCCTGCGCGTACCTCGCGACGACGTGCCAACGCCTCCAGTGCATCCTCGAGCTCTTCCTCAAGCACGGCGTCGACGTCAACGCGATGGACCCGCAGCGCAACAACTGGACGATCTTGCACCACATGTTTGTCGCGCAAAAGACGTTTGTGCTGCCGTACTTGTTGGCGCGAGGCGCGCGGCCAATGCGGGACGTCAACGGGCTCGCGCCGCACGACTACCTTCACAAGTCCAAGCACGACCACTACGTACGCGCCTATCTTGAGACAACGTCGTCCAGCTTAAGCGAGCATCCGTCGTCCGACCCGGCGTTCACCGAGCCGTGCGTTGTGCAGATAGTGCACGATTGGAAGCGGGATACGCACGAGCTCGGCGAGCTCCTCCACGTCAAGTGCAAGGGTGCGCCAGGCTACGTGCAGCTGATTTACCATGAGAACGACTCGCCCGAAGGCCTCCAGGAAGAGGCCGTCTTTGACCAGTTCATCCAAGTCGAGAAGGAAAAGACCATCTCGTTCAGCACCGCGCACCTCCCAGCGCAAGCCGTCGTCCATGTCCTGTACGTCGCTTGCGACAAGCACATGATGCACCGGCAAGTGCAAGCATCAGACGGGCCGCTGAGCATCCAAGCCAACGTCGAAAAGTATGTCTTCACCGTGAACGGCGAGGCCTTCCACCACGCCAACCCGGTCCTGGACGGCATAGTGTTCCCCACCATGCGCGAGTTCCAGCAGTTTATGAAAATGATGAAGTCGGACAAGCTCGACGCAGTTCGATACGAAGACGAAGCAGTGTCCAACCAAGAGGACACGTCTGACGCGAGTCCATCGGACAACGAGACATCGACAACGCCCAACCAAGATGACGAGAAGCCCAGCGCTTGTCGCCATGCCGAGCTTCCCACAGACCAAGCGTCCTCGAACCAGCTCACAGACGAAGCGTCCTCCAACCAGCTCGAGTGCGACGTTTAGGCAAAACAAGGAATAGGGTTTTATAGTCGTACATGTAGTAAGTTTTACCCACCCGAAATATCTGAAATTTTAACGATTTGACGTTTTGCAAGAAAAAGTTTGCCGGTAAATTGGTCCTACATGATATCATCGTGGTGCGGCGTCTTGGGTGTCTTGGGGCGCACGTCGCTAGGTCGCTCAAAGAGCATTTCAATGTCTTCGAGGAGAAGACCTTTGGTTTCGGGGCACTTGAAGTACACGAAGGCGCCTGCGACCAAGCACAACGCTGCAAAGAGGAAGAAGACGCCGTTGATGTTGAGGTACGGGAAGAGCTTGGGGATGCCAATCATGATGGCGCCCATCGCCCAGTTGGTCGTCGTCGAGATCGAGACGGCTTTCGCGCGGACGCTCATCGGGAAAATCTCGGCCGGGTAGATCCAGCAGATCGGACCCCACGAGATCGCAAAGCTAAAGATGAACACCATCGTAAAGACCACCATGACCCAGCCTGCGCTCTTGGAGCAGCCCAGTGAGTCCGTGTCGCCGTCGCAGCCGACCGTGAACGCCGTCGCCGAGACGACGTGCCCAATCACCATGCCAATGGCGCCGAAGAGGAGCAGCTTGCGGCGGCCGTGGTGATCGACCCAGCGCATGGCCGGGATCGTCGAGAGAAAGTTGACGATTTGGATCATGAGGAGACAGATGATGCCAAGACCAAGTACGTCCTTGAAGATCTGCCCGCCGTAGGCAAAGACGGCGTTGACACCCGTGCCTTGCTGCAGCAGCTGCAGACCCATCGCGATGAGCACGCGGCGGCGCACCGACTGGTCGCGCCAGAGGTCCATCCACGCCGCCTGGGCCGACCCTTCCTCTTCGAGCACGTCGCCAATCGCATTGAGTTCGTCGTGGATGTCGTCATGGCGGCGCAGCTGCTTGAGCATCACAGCCGCAGCGTCTCGACCGCGCGCTTTGTACGTCCAGCGCGGCGACTCGGGCACGCAAAAGATCCCGACCATGACGATCACGGGGAAGACGAGACCGATGCCGACCGTGATGCGCCAGCCTTGGTTCACATCCTGGATGATCGCGTTAATGACGCCCGCCAGCACGATGCCAGTCACGCACGCCATCTGCATGAGCCCCGAGAGCATCCCGCGGAGCTCCTTGGGGGCCATCTCAGCCGCGAAAATCGGCAGCGAAAACGTCGCGTTGCCAACACCAAAGCCTTGCACGAGGCGCGCGATATAGACTTGGGCGTGGGCGCTCGATGTGATGAGGAGGACGCCGCCGAGGCCGTAAAAGACAGCGGACGAGCAGATGGTGGTCCGGCGGCCGTACTTGTCGGCCGTGTAGCCGCCGACGACCGCGCCAAACATGCAGCCAACGTAGTAGAGCACGTTGTACAAAGTGGTAAAGTTGAGCCAATTGGGCGGCAGGTTGGCGGTGGAAGCGTTGCAAGCGACCTCGCTGTTGCCGTCGTACCCGATGCAAAAGGCGTCGAGGAACGACGGCATGACCATAACACCCCCGGCGACGCCGTTGTCGTAGCCAAAGAAGATGCCACCAAGGGACGAGAAGGCGCAGACACCGACCGCGTAGAGGTTCTGACGCAGCACGGGTGAAGAAGTCATGCGCCGAGTGCGAGCAAGTTGAAGAGTGCGTTCCGTTGCGAGCGTCGATCAGCGTATGCGGATTCGACGGCTCGTATCCGGAAGGTTGGACCAATGGGTATCTTCAAGCAGCGTGGGTTGCGATCGGGTGGCTGACGTGCTCGTCTCTCTTGCTGCATGAGGGTACGACGCGATTACCAAATAGATCTTAGCTCGGCTACAGCCAAGCAGCGGAGAAGGTTTGGCGCAGCTTCATGCGCTGGAGACGACGTAGTAATGAAGCTGCCGGGTCGTTGCCACCGCCGTGGAAGATTGGTGGTTGACGGCTTGCGGCGGTGGGCCAGCGACATGGGCGAACGAACGAACGGGTGTATCAGAAAACATCAGAAAGGGTCTGCTTTTGTTCTTGCTCGGTTGCATTGCTCGTTCTGGTTGAAGTCGCCGCGACAGGACATGGGTGGCAGGCCTTCGCAGCCACAAAATCGACAGACCATCAGTCGCCGCTTCATTACTACCACCCATTCACCATATGTGTCAGCAACGTCTGACGGCAGACGTAGCAGCTGGCGACGGTCCAGCGCTCGGCGATTGGGTCGCGGCGGTACGCTTCAAGATCGCGCTGGGCTCGTGATCCGCTGCATGAATGAGTAGCTGATCAAGAACAAGGTAAGGGTGCGGACAAGGCTCGGCGTCTCTGAGAAGATCGCGCCAAGCCTCGAATGGAATCTTTGATCGTGTTGGAATGCACTCAAGCAACCCTTTTGGCAATACCTCCTTGACCGTTCATCCTGGACAATGGAATACATATATTCAAGATGTTTCTTCCCTTGATCCTGGACGTCAACGAACGACCGAGTAGAGACCAGGAGAAGGGTTGTTGTGCTACTTACATTGTCAGCGCCAACGATTGCAACATGGCTACTGCGGCGATGATATGGTCTCGACCACGTGGGCTCGTTCGTACTTTTATAAAGGTGCCAAGTCCCGGTATTGCAAATACAACCAACTTTCTGGGATCGCAAATACAACCAACTTTCTGGAATCGCAGTCCCAGACATTCCCATACTATAGTACGGCTGTGGGACGCTGTGGGACAAACCCCTTGCATCTTGGGACAAACGAGTCTCGTTTGGTTTGAAGGAGTTTCCCTTTTACGGATATCGACGAGAAGTCCGGATATCGTAGTCTTACTATCGAGGCGATGAGCGCAGCCTCGCTCGGGTCGTGCTTGGGCGTCGCCTTCGTCGTCGATGACATCCACAAGGGCTGCAACCTCGCGTTCCGGTACCCGGCGCCGCAGAGCGACAGCCATATCTCGGCGTTCCACCGGCTAAGCTCGGCGCTCGTGGCCAAGCTCTTCCGGCCCAAGAACGCGCTCTGCAACCAAACGTTCGAGCTCGTGATCGACGACCTGCGCTTCGTGAGCCACCCCGTGGCCATCAACGTTCCATCGGCGCCAGCCTCGGGACAAGCGCACCGCGAGACGTCCATGTTCAACGTCATTTTTGCCTTGGACGAGACCAAGTTCCACATGGAGATGGACCCGGCGCCCGGCGACCACAAGCGCAAGGTCGAAGCGTACGCGCAGGTGGCTGCGCAGCTCGCCAACGCGCTCTTACATGAAGAGAATCGGGTTGGTTTTGTGACGAAGGAGGTGCGCGAGCTCCTTCACATTCGCGACGAGATTGCACAGAACGAACGGCTCCACCACATGAGCAGCAACATGGACGACAACAGCAACGCGCCGCAAGAGACATCGTACCAGGAAGTCGATTCGGACCCGCAGACGCTCATCGACGTTGCGCTCGGGAAGAGCATCCTCGCCAACGACCTCAAGGCCGTCTACCACGGCCTCGAAGAAGACGGCTCGGTCCACGTCGTGCTCAACCGCTGGGTGCAGCTCTCGCTCACGCTCTACGACTCGAACCGGTTTGACATCACGTCGATCCGGCCGTACCACACGCTACTGCTGCTGGCCGAGAACGAAAAGATCCTCGAAGCGCTCCCGTCCGACGCGTCGCCGCACCTCCGCCTCGTCATCGAGGCCCACAACCCGCTGCGCGACTTCCACGAGCTCATGGTCGAGACAGGCATCCCGCTCAAGCAGCTCTTCCGGCTGGCCGCGCACCTCGTGTACTGGGGCGTCGCGCGCGTTCTGGATGCCGTCACGATGCACAACATTTACCAAGTGCGCCCGACCGCCAACTTGCACGCGCACTCGGCGCTCGCGCTCGAATTCCGCCGCAAGTTCACGAGCTTTGAGCTCGGCGAGGTGCTTGCGACCTTTATGGGCAAGCACCGCATCTCGGTGTACATGAACACGCTCTCGCAGCACCGGAAGCTCGAGTACATCCACATGCTCATCTGGCTCCTCCAGCACGACTTTATCGTGCAGCTGCATCGCTACATCTACCTCATGATCCCGCAAGAGACCGACGTGAGTTCGTCACCGGCCGAGCCGTCGGCGGAGAAGGATTACATGGCCCAGCTTGCACGCATGTCGTCGTCGAGCCCCGTCTTTGACCTCTTCCAGCGCCTCTGCCCGTACTTTCACGGCCAGCATCACATGGTCGAGATCATGTGGAGAGAGAACGTGACGCGTGCCGAGCTGCGCATGGTCCTCAGCACGTACCAGAGCATCCTTGCGTTTGCCGTGCACGAATAGTCGTTGATGCCAACACGATCCTTGCGTCTCATGCATCTTGACATGACTGCTGGCATCCAAGGAGCAGCAGGACCTAATAGTCTTGTGCATGCATTCGCACTGCTGTATGCAGATGATCGTCGGTGGAGAGGGCCATCGCGCCTTGCAGCCGTGGCTGCCTGCAGCACGGCAACGAGGTGCAACATGCGCGTATCGGGTCGATGGCCTCGCTGTCGCCGCGCGCGCTTGGCGCTAGCCGCATGCAGCCATCGCCTCCATGGCCATGATGGCCATAGAGCGTGCAGGACCCATCCGCGCATGGATGCTTCGCCAAGCAGCTCGCGGAGCCTCTGCGCCCAGGAGCCGGCCGGCGGCGAAATTTCACAGTCGGTCGAAGCGCTGTGATTGGTCGGTTTTCGATTACACTCGTTCGACGCAGCAATAAAAGACATCACGTTGCATACAAATATCGAGCAATCTTTAAATGCTGCAAAAAAGAAAGCGCCCAGCCGGCGCTGATGAATCCTACTCCCCAAGTCTTTCGCCAGCCGCCGTCATAGAACCAGCGCCATGTTCCTCTCCTGGGTCGGCAAGTGCGAGCTGCTGCATGCGCCTCCGGAAGCGCACGTGCTCAAGGGCTTCAACGAGAGCTGCCAGCGGGGCATCTGCTCCATGGTCATCGGCTTCCTCGGTGCCGGCGACGAAGCGGACGTGCTCGCGACGCCGACGCACGTCAAGTGGTCCATGGAGGCCCTCGGCCACAGCTTTGCGCTGGGCATGGAAGACGCCGACGTCATTGCGGGCGCGACGCGTATCTACGAGAAGTGGCTTGGCCTCCACGGAGACGGCCGCCCCAAGTGCATGCTCGGCCAAGAGCAAGAGTTCATCCGCGACCTCCTCGGACACATGTCGTTGATCTTTGAAGACCGCGACGCGACGCGCGGCAAGCCCGAGCTCCTCGCCAAGCACATCTCGCTCTGTGAGAAGTACGCTCTCGTCGTCTACTCCTACTGCGTGTCATCCTTCGCGTGATGTAGGGTCCTCGACTTGTATTCGCTTCTGGGCCGAAAACGGGCCGCGACGCTCACGCCAACGACGTGGGATCACTTTCTGCGTCTCCTTTTGGGCATCACCGACTGCGTCCTCCACGGCACCAAGCACAGTCTTGCCTCGGCGCTCTGCGGGCAGCTCATTCGCGTGACCCTGGAGCAGTTTACCATCTCGCTCCAGTTTACCGGCGTCAAAGGCGACCTCTGGAACATGCTCCTCAAGTTTTGCCGCCGATGGCTCCACCGAAAGACTGTCATCGAGCAGTGGAACGTCATCTCGTATGCGCTCACGGAGCAGCTCATGGCGCGCATCGCTGCCGATGCGTCCGCGACGACGACCGCCACGTCCCATGTGATTGCGATTCCGTGGAGCGACCGCACCCCGACCCAGCTCGAGTTCGTCCGGATCTCATTGTATCAACCTTCGATGGCTCGCTCTGTAGGCTCGAGAGCGCGCTTTTAGCCTACGCGTGGTACCGCATCATGCGCGTGATTGGCCACCCGAGCCTCTTTGCCGACCCGGATGTCTACCTCGTGGCCATCGTACGCCTTTCCCAAAATATTTTTTCAAATGATCGAGCGTGACGCGTAGAGCGGTATCCGGCGGCTCGCCAACGTCCTCACATACGTGGCACCCGCGACGTCGGACGAGAAGCAGCCGCAGCTGCCCGACGTCAACACGGTCTTGCGTATCCTGGGCCCCTGGCTTTTTGACGCGTCGTTGAACCGAACGGGTCTCCCGCGCTTTGCCCTCTGTCGCGCCGAGGCCGTGCGGTGCCTTGGCGACCTCCTGAGCCAGCACGGCGGCGGTCGCACCAAGCAAGTCACGTGGCCCTTCACCATCCGCGCGCTCATGGCGATCCAAAAGGCCCTGCTCGACGACGACGATGTAATTGCCTCCTTTGTAAAAGAAAAAGCGGATGCTAGGTGCTCGTGGCGTCGGCCGTCGCGAGCTGTTCGCGCATCTTTGGCACGCACGGCACCCACACGCTGCGCGGCGTCGGCGTCCTCGCCGGCAGCTTTCACCACGCGATCGACCGCATCTTCCGGTACATGACGTGGCAAGACAAGTGTGTTGTCACTATTTGGATGGAGCGTAGACTGAGCGCGACCAAGAGCCCGAGCGTCCGAAAGGAGAGTGCCAGTGGGGCCTCGTCGCCGCGCAAGCGTCTCTCGGTCGGCGACGAGGGAGGAGGTGTCTCTGCGATTGGCGGCGTGCCGATCACGCTTCTCCGGCGCGCCTGCATCGAAGCCTGCAGCTCGCTGCTCACGATCCACTCGCACTTGCCCGTACATATCGTTTTGAGCACCACGGTATTGATGCTGACGTTTGTAGATTTCCATCACAAAGCAAGTGGAGAAGACCTTGACGGGGCACGTGGACGGCTTACCCCTTGTCTACTCGAGCCTGCCGCGGTACCAGAGCTCGAACGTCGTCACGCTCCTCATTGGATGCCTCAAGTCGGAGGTCGACTCGACCAACCAACAGGTGTCGAATTGTGTTTCGGAGGCGCAACGACCGACCGTTCGATGTAGATGGCCATGTGGCTGCTCACGATCGCGGTGCAGAAGGAGGCGCTCTTTTGGTCCATGGGCCTTGCCTCGACGCGCAACTCGCAAGTGCCCATGACGATCACGAGCATTTGCTCGTTTTTGACCAAGATTCCGAGGTAGTCTTTTGTATGATGTGGAGGATGCGAACGGACGTGATGGCCTAGTCGGTGGAAGCCCGCTTGCGTCTTTACAGCGCTCGAGTGCCTCCGGTACCTCACGATCGTGAGCGAGCACCTCTACAAGCACGTCTTCTCGTCCTGCGTCTACTTGATCAGCTGCGTATGTGAGTTCATGGCGTCCAACGCCCAGGCGCTGCGCACGATGCGGTCGCCGCCGCCGTACGTCGACCAGCTCATTGCATCGGCGATGGGCTGTCTCCTCGAATGGATTGTGACGACGCCACAGCTGTTGAGCAAGACGCAGATCATGGTCAAGATCATTGCCACCGTCGTCGACTGCGCCGACTACCGAAAAGACTTTGTGCCTCTTGTGCCGCACGCCGACGACGCGACGCGCCAAAGCGCGCACGAGGTCCTCGAGTACCTCGTCAAACACCACGCCAACACGGCCACGGACGCGCGCCACAGCGTATACACAAGGCTCTCGCTCGTGAAAGATTGATAGTTTCATAGGTCCTCGACGACGACGAGCATGCGCAGAGCCGATACTTTGTGTGGAACCACGGCACACTGGTGGGCCTCCTCGAAGGCGACGACGGCAGCCTCTCGGTCTCGCTCCGGGACGCGAGCGGCCACTACGCGTGGCGGGTCAAAGCCCAGTACCGGTACACGCCGCTGGGTGCACCGGCGCCGTCGCCGCCCGTCGCGCGGCCCACGCGCACGTCATCCTTTTACACGTACCACCACGACGCAGAGATTGATATGGACGGCGACGCTGCGCCGACCGACCCGCTGCTGCAAGCGCTTCGGCAGAACGCACCGCAGCTCACCAACTGGAGCAGCTCCAGTAGCGCTACCTTGGACGCGGCCGAAGGCAACGTGGCCGCGCGCGACGTCGAGACGTTTGTGCAGCTGCTGCAAGCGCAGCGCGAGGCCGAAGAGATGATCCTCGCGCAGCACGCGGGCGACGCGAGCGGGCCCGAGCCGCTCGAGGCGCCCCGACCGACGACGTCGTCCAACGACGCCCGCCGGCTGCTCTCGCAACTCGGGTTCATTTCGATCGGATCCTGGGGCTCCTTCTTCCCGCTCACCAACACCGATGGTCTCCTCCGCGACCTCCGCGCACTGGACCGTCTCCCGACCCGCGAGACGTACGAGGTTGGATCCTTATTGTTGTTTTCTGTGCTCATGTTTGGATGGGAATTGTAGATTGGCATTGCGTACACGGTCAACGGTCCTTCCGCCAATGGCTTTGATTCGATTGCGACGCTCGACCAAACGTCGACGCCGTCGCCTGCGTACGCTGCGTTTGTGGCGACGATGGGCTGGACCGTCGACGTACGCGCCTACGGCGGGTTCCTCGGGCACAGTCCGCGCGAGACCGGCCAAGCGCTCGTGTACGCCCAGTACAACTACGAGGTGGCGTTTTACACGCCGACGCTGGCCGCGCACCGCCCGCTTCTCGCCAACGCCGAGGTGCTCATCGTGTGGAACGAGTGCCAGCAAAAGTACACGCCGGGCTCGGCGCTCTGGGCGTCGGCGTACGGTCTCCCGCACCCGCGCGCGAGCGTCTACATCATCATCGACCCGCTCGACGAAGGGCTCTTTTGCGTCCGCATTTCCGTCGCTGGCTCCGTCTTCGAGAGCGACCGCAACGACGCAGGTTTGTTGCCTCTGCCGATGCACGTGGCGTCACGCGACCTAGGCGCCCTCGACGACGATACGTTTGCCGGGCGTGTTTTGGGGCCGCTCCAGGTAGACTGCGTCGCAGTTGAGCGGTGTCTATAGCTATGACTAGGACGGCATGGTCATTAGCGGCGAATGGCTCGGACCACTTGTGCGCCAAACGGCCCTCAACGCCGTGCACGTGCACCGACTGCAGCAGCGCCACCAGCACTCGCTCGGCCTCTCGACCCAGTCGCCGATCCGGTGCGAGCCGACATGCACAGCGCGTTCTCATGCTGCGCTTTCTAGGCCACAGGACAAGCGCACCAAGCTCATTGCAGGCGTTGTCCGGGACCACGTGGCGCCCGTGCTGCCCGGCGAGTTTTACAGCTCGCTCTTTCCGCGCAAGTAGAAGATAAGGGTGTATACGTGGTCTTCTTGGGTGTGGTGTGGGAGGGGATAAATACACGGCGGCGACGACGACGACTACATGTGCAGCAGGTGGATTTGAACCGGCGACGCCTGGCAGAGCGGGCACTTGCCGTTGACGGCGACGGCGTTGCTGATGCACGGTGCGCAAAAGAGGTGGCCGCACGACGTCGACGCGAGCTCATTGAATTCGTCGAGGCAGATAGGGCAGAACGCGTTCTTCGTGTACTGCTCCATCGCGACCGCGTTGTCCATGCACACTTGCGTGCAGTCGGCCGACGCCATGTGGGTTGGGTCGTAGCGCACGGCCTTTCCGTCGCTGCGCGTGAGGGGCGCCGAAGTGGCGGCCGGCGCCTTGCCATTCGATTTCTTGCGCTTCTTAGCGGGAGGCGAGTCTCTCGCCGCGGGGCGACTGCGCGCGGGTGGCGACGGGATCTCGTGCGTCAAGTCGACGACGCGTGGCGGACCGGCAGGTGGGTTTGGCGGGCCCTGGAAGAGGGCACGCAGGATGTCTTCCTGGATTGCGCCTGGTCGGAAGAGCGCCATGAGGGCCTCCTCAAGATTGCTCATGCTGGCTAGCGTGGTCGGCGGGAAGGAGGTGGATGGACGGGATCGCGCGGTGGCCGAGGGCGCCGAACGAGCAATTGCCTTGCATCGGGATCGAACCCTCGCAAACGGAATCCGGATATCATCCGCCCGACTTCGGCCAACCGTATCCGGATGATAAATAATTTCACGTTGGGAGAGACGACGGTAGTCTTCACGGGCGACCGACTACCGACTAAGCTTGTACTGATTGACCGGTGTTTAGTTAGTACACCGTGAGCCTTCTACTAACTGTTGCTAACGTTACTGTACACAATGTCTTGCGTTGGGACTCTCTCGTCATGCCAATGCTTTCAAAGGTGCCCATATTCCTGAGATTGCCATCGAGGCAAGAGCTAAAACGACAGAGATGCAGAACGATGCATGCGCATGGACTAGCAGCTTAGCTGAGGAGACTGCGCATGACGGTCTTGATGTTGAGCTTGGTGAGGTTCGTGTACTTTTGGCCCGTCCGACAAACATGATGGGCTGGCCCGTCTTGTAGACCATCGAGACAGCCGCACCGACTAGGACGAGGACGAGGCGTGAGCTCCGAAGAGAACTGAACAGGGCACGGTGTACCCTTGTCATCGATCGTGTCAAACTTGGTGATGACGATACCGTCGACGCGGCGCGGATCCTGGCGGTCCGAGTAGTCGACGAGCGCCTACACATCGCTCAGGCATGGCTGCGACTGTCGACGACGTACGCGATCAAAGAGCGAGAGCTGGTCAATGCCGTCGTTGCCGACAAGCGCCTCGCCGACGAAGAGCACAAGGTCGGGGTTGTTGACGGACACGAGCTTGGCGAGCGCGCGCATGAGCGGCTCGTTGTTCTGCATTCGACCCGCCGTGTCGATAAGGACGCAGTCAAAGCCATTTTCGTTGCCGTATGCCACCGCATCGCGCGCGACGGCGGCCGGATCCTTGGCGTACCCACGCTCAAAGAGCGGCACGTCGAGCACCTTGCAGTGCTGGTTGAGCTGCTCGACCGCGCCCGACCGGAACGTATCGCAGGCCGCAATCATCACCTTGACGCCACGCGACTTGAGGTAGTAGCACACTTTCGAGAGGCTCGTCGATTTGCCGACGCCGTTGACACCGACAAACACAATCGAGTAGCAGCGCCCTGCCTCGCGCGCCGCAAGCACTTCGCGCAAGACGTCCGTCGACTTTTTCGGTGTCAAGATGCGCAGCAAGGCCGTTTCGAGCGCCTTCTGCACCACGGTTTGGATCCTAAGCGAGTGGATTTGCATAAATTGCTTCCAACCGCGTTCCTGGATACCGTGTAAAGCTCTCGAGGCGCTTCCCGATCATCGTCGTCATGACCGACTCACAAAGCTCTTCGGCGACTTCGGTCGCCACGTTCTTGGCAATAAGCTAGTGGAGCACGCGTTATGAGAAGAAAACATACAAGTGACGAGTTGTACCGTTTGGCGGAATTGGTCCAAGACAGGCGCCAGGTCTTCGCGCGTCAGCATCTATATCCTCGTCATGTGAGACCTGCGAAGGTACCTTAGGAGGACGCACCTTGTTGCCCGACACTTTCTGCAGAAAGTCACCGAGGCGCGTCTGGCCAAAGCTCCAGCCCGAGCTGCCGTCCGTGCCCGACTGCTCCGACTCGCTCTCGTTCTCGTCGTCCGACATGGTGTCGGCCTGGAATATGCATCATGAGGACCTACGAGCAACGATCGCACTGCGTACCCCAATGTTTTCGCGCCGCTTGGTATCGAGCATCGCCTGCTCGTCGTCGGCCGTGACCGGCTTGGATTGATCGAGCTTGGCCATGTCCTTGGCCGAAATCTTGTCCTTGATCGTGTACGAAAGCGCGGGCTTCTTGGTTCCCTTGCCTTTATCTACGCATTACGCAACATGAGGATACACTCATGGAAGAGGCAAGGAATACCGTCGGCGGGCTTGTCCACGTTCTTCTTGAACTTGGATGGGCGCGGGCCCGTGCGCATGGTCTTGGTCGACTTGGACGACGCGAGGAACGCCATGTCGTGCTTCAGGCGATCAAGCTCGTCGGCCGACGACGTCACACCTTCGCTGTCGTCCTTTTCCTGTCGTAGATGTGAGGTTTGGCACGTTGCGAGGGATGGATCGACCTTGTCGGCTGGGTCGGAGCTCGCATCGGCTCTGGCAGCGCCATTCTTCTTGCTCGTCGGCAGAGCGCGCGTACTGGTCGTTGCAGTATTGGCGCGCTTGCCTTTCATGTAGTTCGTCTCGACGTCGCGGAGGATCCGGTCAAAGGCTTCGTCAAAGGCAATCGGCGCACGCGCACGGATTTCGTCCATGAAGCTGGCGACGACCTCTTGCTTCAGGCGCTCGAGGAGCTCGTCGACGTAGAGAAGCTGCAGCACCTTCTGGTAGACGACGACGAGCACGAGGTTGAGCTTGTTCTCAAGCGTCCAGCGCATCTGGTACGCATCGTAGTTGAGCTCCTTGCGGCCCGTGCGCTCCTCAAGGAGCACGGTCTTGACGAGCTCGTCCACAGGGTTGCCGCGCAGCTGGCAGAGGGAGCGCGACCAGAGAACGGTACCGCTCTGGCTGAAGATGGAGACGTGGTCAAGCATGCTGGTCTACTTGGAGGTTGTCGGAAGATAGGCGTTGGGGCTCCGCTGTCGTGTTGACTTGTGGAAAAAGAACTAAAAACTTCCTCCGCCGTTATCCGGAATTCGTACCCTGCGTGACGCGGCCGTGTCTACGCTATAGTTAAAAACACGCCACTCTTGAACGCACCGTGGTGTCTATGCGCGCATAGCAAAGCGGCAAAGCGTGAAGTGCTGCTTGAAGTGGCTTGAAGCAGTGCACACTGCTCTTCATCATGAACATGAACATGAAACAATGCACTGCATACACGATCTATCAAGCCCCTTGTCATCGTCCTGCGCTAGCTCGGTTCGCCACAACCATTGTGGCTTCAAAACACTGCAATGTTGAACCCCATGCCTCCATTTGGATATTACACCAGCCATATGAAAGGTGATTGGGCATTAAGGAGCGTTGTTTCAGCCAACCAAATATTGGACGTTTCTCGACTTTCGAGAATACACCAGCGTATATTTCCACTAGTCGGTGCAATTTACCGTATTGCCCGGGGCATGCCAGCGACATCACGAGGTTTTCGTCCAAGGGAATTGATCAGCGGTGCGGCCAGACTGACGATAGTGTACTCGTGCTGACGTGCCATGCAGAATAGCATTGCTCGGGGTCTGTACGCTTGCCGCCAACACCGGTCGTCTCTTCACCAACGATATATATGGAGCTACCGCGATCCCATGAGCAGAACACGTCCTACATCCAGTTTCTTTGGCCTCCACTGGAGCTCCCGTCGATCCGCTTGCATTACACCGCGACACACCATGCGAACCTTTTATGCCACTTGTCTGGCTGGTCCTTCCAGTAGCGACACCTCGTACACTGCAACGTTGTACCAATCGTGCTGCTGGAGGCACACACACAGCGCTGATGACTGCGCCATCGCAGAGTCCGCCACATCGTCGAACGCTGTTGGATCACGGAAATGCCAGCTGCTCAAGACGCTCCGGACGATTATTGCTCCCGACACAAGCGCTCGTACAGCTGACGCACCCATTGCTTCTTGCACAACCACGTTGCCCTCAAGGGCAAGCAGTCTCGTTCGGCAAATCAACTGAGCCGCCCAAACGAGCTTCGTGGCGCTTCGAGACAACGCCATGTTGCAGTATACACTGTGCTACAGGCAGGTGCGTCATACTTGCGATTACCCGCACATGGCCGTCAACGCCAACCAATTCGACGTCGAAAGGTCCAATCAATAATCGAACGCGCCTGTCGACTTGCGGTTTGTATACAAGATTTGGTTGACGTCATCGGATCCGACCTCGTGACGTCGAAGGTCGCGAGCTTGAACCGGCGCGATCCGGTCGCCACTGGTCGATATCATCCATCATGAGCAGCATCGGTACCGAGGAGAAGTCCAAGACCGAGTTCCCGACGCTCACGGAGCTCAAGCACTCGATCCCGAACGCGTGCTTTGAGTCCAACCTCGGCCTCTCGCTCTACTACACGGTCCGCGCGATCTTCAACGCGTCGGCCTCGGCGGCGCTGCTCTACGCGGCGCGCTCGACGCCGTTCATTGCCGAGAACGCTGTGCTCCATGCGCTTGTCTGCGCCGCCTACATCTACGTGCAGGGCGTCATCTTCTGGGGCTTCTTCACGGTCGGCCACGACTGCGGCCACTCGGCCTTCTCGCGCTACCACAGCGTCAACTTTATCGTTGGCTGCATCATGCACTCGGCGATCCTGACGCCGTTCGAGAGCTGGCGCGTGACGCACCGCCACCACCACAAGAACACGGGCAACATCGACAAGGACGAGATCTTTTACCCGCACCGGTCGGTCAAGGACCTCCAGGACGTGCGCCAGTGGGTACGCCTCTTACCACCGATCGCCGAGGCTCACGTGCGCATAGGTCTACACGCTCGGTGGTGCGTGGTTTGTGTATCTCAAGGTCGGCTATGCCCCGCGCACGATGAGCCACTTTGACCCGGTACAACGCAGCGCTCGACGAAACAACTCATGATGCATCTGCTAGTGGGACCCGCTCCTCCTCCGCCGTGCGTCGGCCGTCATCGTGTCGCTCGGCGTCTGGGCCGCCTTCTTCGCTGCGTACGCGTACCTCACGTACTCGTTCGGCTTTGCCGTCATGGGCCTCTACTACTACGCGCCACTCTTTGCTTTGCCTCGTTCCTCGTCGTCACGACCTTCTTGGTACGTGCTCTTGCCCGTCGTGATCTCTTCTTACATGTATGGCGATAGCACCACAACGACGAGGCGACGCCGTGGTACGGCGACTCGGAGTGGACGTACGTCAAGGGCAACCTCTCGAGCGTCGACCGCTCGTACGGCGCGTTCGTCGACAACTTGAGCCACAACATTGGCACGCACCAGGTCCACCACCTCTTTCCGATCATCCCGCACTACAAGCTGAAGGAAGCCACCAAGCACTTTGCGGCCGCGTACCCGCACCTCGTGCGCAAGAACGACGAGCCGATCGTCTCGGCCTTCTTCAAGACCGCGCACCTCTTTGTCAACTACGGCGCCGTGCCCGAGACCGCTCAGATCTTCACGCTCAAGGAGTCGGCCGCGGCCGCCAAGTCCAAGGCGGACTAAGCCAACGAAGCGCAATACAGGACGTGTCCATAATCTGTCGTCTACTAGCTGTGTTTCCATTCTGTACGTGTTTATGCTTAAAGCTCCGCGACCTACGGCCACGGACAGCGACAAGGATGGAGAGGATGTGACGAGTACCTCGTACTGCATCTCGACGAGGAGCTCGTTGATGGCTTCAATGATCTTGGTGTGGGTACCCTCCATGGACCGGATCGAGGTCTCGTAGATGCTGGCCGACACGTCGTCGTCGCGCGTCTGCTTGGATCGCATGCGCTCCAAGAGCAAGGCTGATGTCTACGCAGATTCGCTTTGTAGGAAGAGGACAGAGAGCATATATCATCGTACAAGCAGAAGTTTTTCCTTCTCCTGGACCTGAACCTTGCGGATGAGGGTGGCGAGCGTCGTCGCGTCGCGAGCGCGGAGCGTCGCCTAGCACCATCGATCGACATGAGGTACGTGCATCGCGCACGAAGAGACCTCGATGCGGTTGATCTCGGCGCTCACAGCCGCAAAATGCTTGGTGATTTCTTGAGCTACTCGCAGCATCATGAGTCCATGCATGCTGCGTGGCAGCGAGCGTACAAAAGACGGCAAATTCGTCCTTGAACATGAGCTCGACAAAGCCCCTAGTACCATGCATCACAAGACGTCGGTAGCATGCCACGCCTACGTCTCGAAGCGCGCGTAGATCTCGACGCGCTTGCTTTGGCAGCGCATGAACGCATCGTACAAGCCGCGGGTCGTCGTCGCATACAGGTCGTCGGGCACGCTGCTCTCGAGGTGGAGGTCGTGCGCGAGCGTCTGCTTGACGTTGGCCACGGCGCAGGGCGTCGCTTGATGGTTAGCATGCTCCTCGTGGTCGCCGTGGTCGCAGCCGTGGCGGGCCTTGAGGATGTCCAAGCACGCGTCCAGATCCATCTCGCAATTCCTGCCTTGCAACCAAAAAGGACGGCCCCCTACCCTCTACCCTGGTACTGCGTTTTCCGGGATTTCGATCGATTTCATGCCACTAAACGTGTGAATTTCGGATTTTTCGGTCCATTTGCATCGCGACACATGGGCAAGGAGACGTACGTCTGCGCGTACTGCGACAAGTCGTTCACGGACTCGCACGAGGCGCGGAAGAAGCACCTCTCTGGGCGTGCCCATAAGGCCAACGTCAAGCTGTGGTACGATGCGATCGACACGGGCGCGGCGCGGACCGACGGCCAGTGGACGCCGGCGGGGCCAGCCACCGACCTCTCGCTGCCGCCGTCGCTGCGGCCAGCGCCGCCACATGCGTTTGCCATTCTGCCGGCCGAGTGGGGCTAACACGTAACGCCGATCGTAATAGTATCGATGCATGGTTCTTATTGTGGCTGCTTATCGCTGGAGGTCGGAGCGCTTGAGCGGCTCGTAGAGCTGGCGCAGCGGTAGTGTCGTCTCTTGGTTCTCCGGGAAGAAGCTTAAAAAGTACCCGAGCTGGCGTGTCCATGGCAGCAGGAGGCGGCGGACGTCCATGAACTTTTCGAGCCGGTGCTTTTGCAGCAGCGGCAGCAGCGGCGACGGACCACTCGCCGCCTCAAAGATGCAGGTAAAGACCTCGTGGCCAAAGACGACGCCGTAGACCAAGTCGGCCAGCGTCACCGTGTGGCGACCCGCGTTGCTCCGGACACCGTACCAGATGAGCTCGTCCGTAATGTAGTAAAAGTCGAAGTAGAGCGCCCGGTACGACTGCGGGATCGTGGCCTGGCCGAGGCGGCCGTGCGGGCGCGGACTCACGGGCACGACGAGGTCGATCGCGTGCTCGAGCTCGTACAAGAGCGACCGGCGGTTGTCGTCGTCGAGGTCCGAATCGAGCAGCACGGTGTGGAGGTCCTTCCAAAACAGCTGAAAGGTCTACACATCATACCATCATCACTATGAACGTGATACGAACCACCTCGAAACGTACCTTGAGGAACTTGGCGATCGTGTCTTCGAGCGTCGAGAACGGGTAGGCTTCGCGGAGCTGCGGCGCGTTGAGGAAGCTCGACATGTTGCTCGGCGTGAAGCTCAGCGACACGTGGTAGTGCTCGGCAAACTGCTTCATGTTGTAAAACGCAATGTGCTCCTTCACGCTGTGCTCCCACTGCTGCCGGTGCTTGCGCAAAAGCTCGAGGTTGGGCTCGATGCGCAGCACAGCAATATCGTGCGGCTCGAGCTTGAGCGACAGCGTCGCGTGCTTCTGGTCGCCGTCGACGCGCAGCGCGAGGGGCGCGAGGACGCCATCGACGTCGACAATGTGGTCGACCTTCACCTCGAAAAACATGCTGTCGTTCCGGATCGCCACGTGCGCGTTCACGTCATGGCGCACGTTCCGTAGCACGATGAACTTGGCGTCCGCTTGCATATCGGTCGGCGAGTCTTCGCACAAGATGGACTCGGGCGCGGAGAAGCCCATGCCGAGGAACGTCGGCTGCGCGGCAAAGTAGGGCAGCGCCGGCTCGTGGTACGTCGGCCAGTCGCCGAGCGTCGGCTGCGCGTGCGCAATGTGCACGTGGAGCTGCGGCATGTTGCACGTCGCTTTCAGAAAGACCGTCTCGCGAAAGTCCTTGACAAGCCGGCAGTTGACGTAGACTTCAATGTTGCGCACCCAGCTCTCGGACGTGGCCGTCGCCTTCTTGGGCGCCGGGCGAAAGTTGAGAAACACTTGCAGTCGCTGGTACGCGCCGAGCGTCACGCTGCTAATCTCGTTGAACGAGGTCGGCGACATGGAGAAGCCGACTTCGTGCGGCCGGCCGTTGCTCGAGAGCATAAAGTCGAGCGACAAGCTCGAAAAGTTCTCGAGCAGCACCGAGTGGTTGTGGTACAGCTTGTCGTAAAACACGTCGCCGTACTCGATCTCCAAGCGCGACGGCGGGTCCTCCGGCGTCAGCGAAAACTCCGACGACTTGCGCCGCTGCCGCTTCGAGCCTGAGTAGTTGGACACGAGCACGCGAAAGAGGTTCGTGTCCGACTTGTCTTTCGCCATCGCCCGGAGCGCGTTGAGGTCCGCAATCACCTCCATCTTGACACGAATGAGCTTGAGATCGCTGGGGTTGCCGACATTTTCGAGCACGAGGAACGTCGAGTAGACGCCGACGACATCGCGCGCAAAGCGGAGCACGATCGTCTGGTACGACAGCAGCGACCCATGCGACTTGCTCAGGCGCAGCCACGACGAGGCTTTCGCGTCCGCAAGGTACAGCCGGTACCCGACGCTCTTTTCTTGCTCGTTGTGCAGTGTGATCTCCCACTCGACCTCGCCGCCCGCGCGCACCGTGTGCTGCCCGACGTCAATGACGTACAGCGTATTGTCGAGCGTCGAGTTTTCAGCCGGCGTGCACCCGCGCACGGTCAAAAGCGCATCGGTCGCCGCCTCGACGACCTCGGACGGCGGCGGCGACGACGCTGCGTCACTCTCAACGACCGCCGCCTCGACCGTGACGTGGTCCTCAAGCAGCGTACTGGGATCCGAGGACGTTGTATCGAGTCGCGGCCGACGCTTCGAGACGGCGCTCTGGATGACGGCGGGTGGAAGCGCAGCCATCTCGGCTTCTTCCATGACAAGCAGCACGTCAATGAGCGACGCGCTGGACGCGGTGACGTCGCGCACCGAGAGACGCATGACGTTGGGCTCGCTGTGCGCCTCGTGACCCGCGTGCGTGCACTCTTCAAGATGCACGAGCACCTTCATCGAGCTCTTTGGCGCGATCGTACCAGTCGCTGGCGTCACGACCGCGCAGAGGACGTCGCCCATCGCCGCGGCCGACGTCTCCTTGTGCAGAAAGCAGAGCCCGGGCACGTGCGTCGAAAACGACGTGACCTCGAACGTGAGCGGCTGCGTCGTCGACGGGTTCTGGATCCAAAAGCAGTCCGAGCTTTGCTGCAGCTGGTAGCAGCTCGAGCGCGGCAGCGGGTTGGCGTGGAACCGCAGCTGGCGCGCCGAGAGGCTAAACGACTGTCCGAGCACAAGGGCGCCCTTGATCGCGATCTCGCGGATGCGCGCCGCCGAGTCCAGGGCGGTGGCGGCGATGCTCAACATGCCGAGATCGCACGCGTCGTCAAAGCGCGAGCCATCGCCCGACGACGCAAACGGGAGGTCCGTCCACGTCGCACCCGGCAGCATGCTGCAGTGCACGCGCACATCCACGTGCTCGCCGGGTGGCAGCGTCAGCGCCGTCAGAGGCGTGTTGGACGACCGCGACACGACGGCCACGTCCAGCACACTACGGAATTGCATAAGAATCTTCGTCGTCTGCAAGAGGCCGTACCTTGCGAGCGCGTCGGCCGCGTGGCACGAGAGCTTGATCTCGAGGTCGTCGTCAAACACGTTGTGGATCGTGCAGAGAAAGCCGGAGGGCGCGTCGCTCGGCAACACGAGCGGCGGGACGTACGCGACGAGCGCCTCGTCATGCCGAGTGCAGTCACTCTCGAGCGCAATGTCCATGTAATTCGCAATCACATGCGCCGAGACCGTGACGACCTGCGTGTTGTGCGGGTTGTGAAAGTTGAAGAGACTCACACTGAGCTCGTGCCGCCCGGCGCTGAGGTACTAGTATCGGTTGAATACTAATACCGAGGACAATAGCAAAGAGAGAGGTACCTCGGGGGTGTGGAGGCACTCGAACACGAGGGTCGCTGTCGCCCGGCCGTCGATTTCGTAAAAGACATCCGAGACGGCACCCGAGAGCGCAGTTGCGAGCTGCTCTTGGAGCGAGTGGACACCAGATGCCCCACCGTCCTCGTCCTGATGGCTGTTCTTCGGGGACGGAACGCGCGCCGCGCGGCGAATTTCGAGCAGCACCAAGCACGACGGGAGCGGTCCGAGACAAAAGAGGCCAGGAATGTCGGCCATGTTCTTGACGTCGACCTCAAACGTGCACGGCGACCACGCTGTCGAGTAGCCGATTTTGCCGAGCGAGATGTGCGACGAGAGCAGCTGGAGGCGCGACTCGCCGTAGACACCCGTGACGGGCAGCACGCCAAGCGTCGTCGCCTCGCACTGCTCGTGGTGGTCCTCGAAACTCTGGAACGCAATCATGCCTTGGAGCGGCACGGTCTTTCCCGCGTCAATCGCATCAATCGGCAAGAGGCCGGAGCACGCCACCGGCGCAAACTGCGTCGCCACCACCACGATCGTATGCGGCTCGAGCGTACACACCGGGCCCGTGTAGAGGCCGGCAACGGTCGCGCTACTGCTGGGCACTGCCGAGAGCTCGCGCGCATCGGCCGCCATAATGCCATTTGCAAACGTCGGGACGGAATGCATTGCTGCCTGTGCCTCGACCGCAAGCCACGTAAAGAGCAGCGGGAGGTTCGAGATCGGACGCAGCGTCACGGAGCGCGACGAGCGGTTCACGAGCGAGACGTACGACCGGTGGTCCGCGACCGTCGACGGCTGGAAGATGCGGTACTGGCGCTGGTTGTCACCATTTGCGACCAAGCCGAGGGGCTCGCTCGAGATGACCGGCACCGTCCCGAGCGTGAGCACACTGCCTTTCGTCGCCAAAAGGTCGCCTTGCAGCATCGCGCGGAGGCGGTCTTGCAGCGTGTACAAGGCCGCGCGCGGCACGACGTCGCACGCAATGCTGCCATTGTCGACAAAGAGCACAACGTCGACCGTGTTGACGTTCTGTGGGTTGTAGACATTCTCGACCACGATCCGTCGGCGGAAGAGGCCGTGCGTAAAGGCAGCCACGTTGAAGTCGATGCGGCACGACTCGCCCGGCGGGATCTCGCCTTTTTCGTGCCGGAGCGAGACGTGCAGCGACTCGTCGTCGTCCGAGTAGCCGGCTTCGTGCACGGATGCAACGTACACGCGGTACGTCAGCGGCAGCGACTTGTTGACGTTGGTGAGCTCGAAACACCCTTCGTGCGTCTTGCAGCGCTGGAGCCGGCCAATGTTGAGCTCGGTCCCAAAGTCAATCTCGCGGGGCACCACGGTGGCCAAGCTCGCGCCCGCGACGCCACAAACTTGACGGTAAACTCGGCTGCGAGCTCGCGGTCCTCGAGCGCGTCCTTTTCCCGAAACAACTGCATGCGGATGCCGCCCATGAGGTCGCGCGACGCGCCGGTCTTGAACGCGTCGGCTGGCAAGCGCGGCCGGAACGCAATGTACAGATCCGTGGCCTCCATGCCCGGCAAGATGATGTTGGTCGCATCGTGCTGCAGCGCCGCGTCTTCGTACACGTAGCACTGCGTCTTGAGGTTCGAGGATGCGCAAAGGAGCAGCGTTTCCGTGACCTGGGACACGAGCGTGATCTTGCGCACCTTGCTAAACTTGCCATCGATCTCGTCGGCCGTGACGTAGCACGGGCCAATGTTGAGGTCCGTGAGCTGGCCCGTCAAGTGCGGGTCGAGCTCCGGGATGCGCACGTACACGGGTCGCGTCACGCGCACGTTGATCGTGACATTCGTCGAGTCGAGCCGGTCGTTGAGGTTCCGGACGAGGATCACCTCCGTGTGCTTGCCCGAGGTCGTGCCCGTGTACGTGAACCGGATCGGCGTGCGTCCGTTGCCGTCGACGCGCCCTGTTGCCGTCGGGAGCACGAGGTTGGTTGCTTTCGGTGGCGCGTCATCGGGGCCGGTCGACGAGACGAGCACGAGAAACTTGACCGGCGTCGCGGACGCGTTGCAGACATAAAAGACGCCGTGCACGATCGCGCCAAGCTGCTGCTCGCCGAGGTCGACGCGGTCCGATCGAGATGCAGCGACCGTTGGACCGTCTTGACGAGCATGACATCGATGCTTGAAGTCGACTTGCCGTCGCTGAGCACGAGACGGCCGGCGGGAATTTCGCCCGTCTTCTTCCACTCGGACGGCAGCGCGAGCTTGCCCAGCGTCGTCGCCAGCGGCGCCGTGGCCTCGATGCCCGACTTGGCCGCGAAATGCCAGCGCACGTGCAGGGTCGAAGTCGTGTCCGGAGCGATCGCGAGTTTTTGCGGCAGAACCATGGGCACGTCGTCGGCCATGGCGACCGCGAGCCCAACAACGTCTTGGAACGCATCCGTTGGCACCCACTTGAGCTCGAGCGTGCTTGCTTCCTTTGCGCGCACCTCGAGGAGCCATCCCAGCGCGTCACTGGGTGCTTCTTCGATCGGTAGGAGCAGCGTCGACGGTCGCGTCGCACCGAGCTGCCCGACGCTGACCTGGAACCGATCGATGGCCGGTTTGGTCGGCACCGGATCCCGGAACGGCATGGGCGGAAGCAGCGTTTTGCCGACGACACGGCAGTACGCGTTCTCCCCCGCGGGGGTCCGCAGGTACACGTCGGCCTTGTACTGCAGCTCCTTCATCACATCCTTGTTTTGCTGCTCGTAAAAGAGAAACTTGCCGACGCCAAAGATTGGGGTCGCGGCGCCCGGCACCGATGTCGGCGGCAGCATGTTTTTGCCGCGGCGTCCGTGGTGGCGGCGGCGGTGCGGACCGGCCTTCTTCGCCGACACGACGTCGCCCTCCTGCTTGAAGACGACCGTGCCGACAATGCGCCCCGTCGACTCGGGCTCGAGCGTAAAGTGCAGCGTGTTGTGCACGACGGTGGGGACCGACCGCCGGCGAACAATCTGGCGCCGGAGCGGCGTCCGCGACTCGGACTCGGACTCGGTGTCGCTGTTGCCACTGTCGTACGCCGACGCGCTACTCCGTGGCGGGTGTTTGCCTGTCTCGGCACTGCCTTCGCCCGATAAAAGCGCCTTGACGTGACTGATCTTGGAGTTGAGCTTCCCAATCTTGTCTTCCTTCTTCTTTGTGACCGCGATCCGAAGCTTGTGCTCGAGCTTCTCGAGCTCTTCGTCGAGCTTCTTCTCCTGCGCTTGCGTAATGTTGGCCGCGGGGACTGCATCCAAGTTGAAGGTAAACGTCGGACGCAGCGACGGCACCGAGAAGCCCGTCGCCGTGTCCACCTCGATGACGTACTCGCGCTTCTTGCGACTCATGTTGCGAATCGTGAGCTTGAATGCGTCGCTCGGCTCGTCGACAAGGCACGTGCCGACCGAGATGGGCTGGCCGGCCTGCGGCAGTTTGAACGTCTCGCGCTTGACGACCTTGGCCTTGATCGTGACAAACACCGAGTTCTCGACGTCCTGGACGTTGACAATCTTGAGCTTCTCCTCGAACGGGCCCGCTAGCGTCGGCTGAAACTCAAAGCACACGTGGCGCGCCCCGAAGGGTTTGATGACGCCAACGTCGCCGTCCTTGATCTCGAGAAACCCAGACGAGATCGACCCCGTCTTCTCAATCATGTACACGAGCGGAATCGCCGACCCGTTGCGGACAAGCACCTTCTTGGAGCTCTTGCTGAACGTCGTGATGCGACCAAAGTTGATGTTCTTCTGGTTCACTTGCAGCACGGAGCGACACACGCGGCTCTTGAGCAGCAATTCGCGCACAGACGGGCGCGTGTCGAACGGGTGCAGCGAGTGCCCGAGCGAAGCCGACGCCGAGAGGTCCGGGTGCCGCCCTTGTTGGTTGCCGCCCGCCGGTAGCGTGACAAACACCTTGTACTTTTCGACGCGAGATTTCTCCGGCGTCTCTTCGCCAACCTTGGGCGTAAAGACGGCAAGGATCGGAAGCGACCCTTTGGCGGGAATGCGGACGTTCCACTCCTTTGTCGTGAGCACAGGCACGAGATGCTTGTCGGCCACGAGCTGATGGAACCGCCGGACGCGCTCACGAATCAAGGTCACCGTGTCCTTCTCACGCTCGGCGTCGAAACGCAACGACTCAAACATACCGACGACATCGGACGTCACCGCATCGAGCTCTTTCTTGGCGCCATTGCCATTGCTTCGCTCCACGACCGTGGGCACCGATGGCATACTCGACGTTGGTGTTTGCGTCGCCGAGGCCGCGAGGGGCGTCGTTGGCATCGTCAGGGTCGCTGTGGACGTCCCACTACCGTTGCGCTTGGCCGTCGTCGTCTTCTTCTTCTTGGACAAGAGCTCCTGGAGGCGCGAGAGCTCGGTGGTTTTCTTGGGCGCGTTGAGCTCCTTGATGCTGCCAATGGAGCGGCGCCGGCGAATCGTTTGCGTCGGCGGCATGTGCAACGACGCGGCGCTCGCCGTCGTCACGGCCACGGGCGCCGGCGACACGAGCGGCGACTCGATCGGCGCGGCCAGCGGCGACACGGCGGGCGAGACGAGCGAGAGCGCGACCGCGGTCTTGGCGTGGTCCGCAATGTAGTAGAGCTGGACGCGCGACGGGTCGCTGCTCTGCACGCGAAGCCGCAGCACGGCGCTCGTAATGTTCTCAAGCGTAAACACCTTGATGCTCATCGAGTTGGCGGCCACGTGCTCAAAATTGAGAAACGCCGATTTCGACGGCGTGTGCAGCTTGTAAAAGAGCGAGTGGTAAATCACATGGTGCGCATCCATGTTGCTCGAGCGCACGCACACTTGCGCGAGATTGAGTTTGTTTTTGAGATTCACGGCGTTGATCACGCGCGTGTAGTTGGCGTTGACCTTGCGCGGAATGATCTCAATCTTCATCTCGAGCGACTGTTTCGGCCCGAGCGTCATCTCGTCGTTCGGGACCGTCGAGACAACTTTCGAGACCACGGATGGCTTGACGACCGTCGGCAGCTCCGAGTGGTTGGTGAGTGTGCACGCACTCGACCGGAGCTCGCCAATGTTGCAGTCGCCAAAGTGCAGCACGGACGGCGTCATCGTGACATACGACGTACACGTGCGCGACCGCGCGTGGAGGGACTTGCCCAAACTGCGGTCGTACACGCGCTGGTTTGAGCCCGTCCACGCGCCTTGGACTTGGTAGCACCGGAACGAGAGCCGGAAGCTCTGCTTCGTGAGGCGGCAGCTCTTGACGTCAAACACCTCGGACGGCGTCGGCGTGTACCACACGACGATCGTCCGCTCGACGCCGGGCGCGAGGTCGAGCGCCTCGACGAGGTAGTTGTTGACGTGGTCGTCCAGCGCAGGACGTACACCCGACTTGGTGCGCACGAGGCTCGTCGACTTGCGCTCGGGCGACGAGCAGACACTGGCGCCGCTACTAATGCACCACCGATCGTGCCAATCATTAAACTATGTCATTGTACCTCTCGATGCCGCTTTCGGTGAGGTCTTTTACGCGCGAATGCACGCGCAAAAGCTTGCGTGACGAACGCGCGCGCAGCGGCACCTTATTGGGTGCGTGGCCTTCGTCGTGCGTCTTGGGGCTGCTCGGACTCGGTGGCGGCGCGAGCCGCTCCCCGTCAAACTCCATGTCGTCGTCTGCGTCTTCCATTTCACTCAAGAGCGTGTCTTCAAACGAGTTGCGCTTGCGGCTGAAAGTCAAGTCTTCGTCGTCGCCGTCGTTTTCGTCCGGCTCGTCGTCGCTGTCGCCGTTCTCCGTCTTGAAGAACGCGCTGTTGGTCGGCGAGGTGGCCGTCGGGGACAGCGAGAGGCGCGAGTCGGTCGGCGAAAGCGGCTCGTCAAAGCCCAGGCCCCGCATCGTCGACATGGAGCGTGACGACCGCGCGCGGTTGTTGCCCACAAGCTTGAGCTCAAACGTCACTTCTTTCGGCCGGTCGCTCGAGAGCTCAATGTGGAGCGGCGCCTCCGTCATGTTTTTGATGAGCACGATCTTGGGGGTTGGCATGCCCGTGTAGCAGTCGCCAAAGTCCATGAGACTTCCACTCATGAGAAAGGACCCGTTCGGCTCCCGGATCGAGAGACCCTCGCTACACAAGATCAGAAGAAGAAGAAGAAAGGTGACGAGGGTGTACCGGTGGTGCTCCTTGGACGCGATCGCGTGCACCTTGAGCGTCTTGACGTTGCGCGAGTCGTGGAGGTTTTGCACGAGGATCTCGAAACTATGCTCGCCGACCTAGAAAAAGGGTCGTGAGATAGACGGGTCGTCCAGCGTACACTGTACCTCGACGGGACGGTACGTCACGCGCACGCGCATGTGCCCATACGCAGCGACTTGGAACGGATTCTCGCCCATCGCGTAGCCCGAGTTGTAGTCGGAGCACGTCAGCATCGCCTTTTGGTCGTCGGGAATCGACGACATCATACGAAACACGAGCGGGATCTCGGACCGGTTCCAGACCGTAAAGTCCTTGACGTACGACCCGCCGGGAATGCAGTCGTCAAAGTGGAGCTCCTTCACGTCGAGGCGCAGCAGCGATCGGCACACGTTGCCCTGGATCGGGATCGTGATCGCATCGAGCGCGCCAACCGGCGACGTCGGCGACCGGTCTGGCGACAAGATGGTCGTCGAAAAGATGAGCCGCCCCGAGAGCGCCGCGAACGAGCTCTCGTTCAAGTACAGTCGCTCTTCGTCAGACGAGTCGTCACCAGCATTCGCCTTGGACGTCAAGCCCGTCGACGGCTTGGCCGCTGTGCCCGAAGCTTCGTGCTTGACGCAGATCGAGAAGATAAGCCGCTGCGCTTGGTTGGGCTCCAACACGATCGAGTCGATGAGCCCCATTTGGTTGAAAAGCTCGTTAAAGCCTTCGTCAAGAAAAACCGTGTCGGCAAGCGACGACGAGAACGACGACTTGGACATGCTTCGGACGAGAGGCGACTCTACGACGCCGTCGTCGTCGGGTAGGTTCTCGTTGTGCGTCTGGAAGCCCCACGTGCTGGCATGGAATGGCTTACGCAGCTCCGCATTCAGGCCCACGCGCACCGGGAACGGCTGCAGGTTGATGAGCTCGAATTGGCGCAAGCTCGAGAGGTCCGAGAGGTACACATCGCCAAAGCCAAAGAGGTTGGCCGGATCCATGGCCGACGAGGCCAGCGCCCGAATGCCCAGCGCCGGCCGCCCCATAAGCAGCTTCGGCCGGCCGCTTGCCGTCGGGCTCAGTACCCCCTTCTCGCTCGAGCTGCCCTCGCCGTCGCTTCCCTTGCGCCGGAACCCGCGCCGCTTCTTCGATGGCATCGATGATCAAGGGACCCCGAAAGCTCTCTCCTCGGCGGTGATTTCAGCCAATTAGATGCGCGGATTCCCAGTCAGTGGTCGCACCTTGCATCGTAGCATTGCATATCCTCTCACATTTAATATTAAACCTTTTCAATAGTATACAACACTATTTGAGGTCATGTCCACACCGTGCCGCCTTGACAGCGTGTTGCAAGCTTTGTGCGCACTGTCTCTTCTCCAACGACAGCTCACGATACATTGATGTGGCTTATTAATACATGTACAAGCCATGTCCAAGGCTAGGTCGGATGCCGATCAATGTGCGATCACACCACAGTGCTCTCACGATTCACACTATTTTACACAATTTGCTGCTTGGGTGAGTGGATCGTGAGTTGCCATCGAAGTCTCGCGAAGGCGGCTTGCCCACGCCTCGTCGATCGCATGTGCGTAATGCGGCCAGACCAACGCACAGCGCATGACAGTCCACGACGCGTCTCTCTAGTCGGAACTCGTCATACACTACACTATTTACACATGTCGTTTCGGCCCGATCTATATTTAACAAGCATTTCATTCGTTCTTTACTTGATGTTTGTATGTGGGTTAAATTTTCGCGTAAAAGGCTGCTTCGGCCAAAGCGGGTACAGGATCATGATGATGGCCCAAGCCGAGCTGCCGACGACCAAGGTGGCGCCGACGAGCTTGGACCAGCCGCAGCCGGAGCTCGACTCGTTCCATGTCTCGTCCTTCTCGGACAGCGACAGCTCTGTTGACGAGACCGAGGTCGAGGCCGACGCGCCACTGCTGCCCGAGGCCAACGCCTCCTGCCTGGCGGAGCAGCTATGGGAGCCGTTCCGCAGCCTTGTTATGGTACGCTTCGCGTCCATTGGCCATGGTACAGGAGCGTGCGCTAGAACCCCTTGACGACTCTTGTCGTATGCCTCTGCGTCAACGCAGCCTTTATCCTCACGTGGTACACCTCGTCCATGGACCCGCTGCTCGTCTTGAGGCATCAACCGCCTAGGACCTTCCTCGCATGGCTGGCCCACTTGATCACGCGCCCAGGTACTGCAACCCTGCGCGCTCTCGGCGTCACGCGAGGCTAGGACTGTTTGTTCTTGTTGTCGCCCTTGTCGTGTGCATAGCTCGCCTCGCCGCGCTCGTGCTCTCGTATCCGGGTCACCTCCAGGTCGTGGCGCGTGACTGCGAGCGCAGCTTTGCGCTCATGATCAAAAAGTGGGTGCGCCTCACAGCCGACACGACCGACGAGCTCATCCAGGTATCGTCGTGGGTCGAGCAACCCCATATTCAAGGACTACCAGCTGCTTCTCTCGCCCGAGCCGTGTACGCCCGAGGCAACGACCGCCTTCCGCGAAGTCTACACTTCGTTCGAGTCGTGCCTGACCAACATCATGGTCGTGCTCCAACGATCGCTCGAGATAGTCGACGAGGTTCGATGCATCTCCAAAAGGTTCTCGCTTGTAGTTGCCATGCCTTGGGTAGGAAGAGACGCTGACGACGGATGGCAAGCGGGTGCTCGCCCATATTCGCGTGTACCTCGAGTACGCGGAGAAGCTCCGACCGTCCTTCGCCCAGCTCGCAGCCGACACGACACCAAACATGGAGGCGCTACGTCAGCAGCTCGATTTGGATGTATGGCGTTCTCCTCCTCGCGATGGCATCATAGTCGGGCTGCTCGTAGAAACCGCTTGTCGAGTTTGGCATGTGCGTCCAGGACCTCCGCGACGTCATCGAGTGTGTTGGGGAGCCACCGGGCACGCCGGTACGCTCGCCTATATAACAGACCACCGACAATGCAAGGAATGTAGAAGCGGTCTGGGCTCTGGGGGCTCCTCTGTGAGCTTGTGCTAGCGCGGCTACGGCCACTCCACATTGTCGCGAGCCTGAGCCTCATGCGAGCCGACCTCATCGCGCGCCACGTACGAAGGCCAAGTGCAACGTCACTCTGATGCACTCTAAATAGAACGGCCGGCAGGTCTGGGTCCCTGGCTACGAGCGCAATCGGATCGACGGCATGTTCATTCCTGGCCTCGGCCTCCCGATCCAGAACGCAGAGCGCACCGTGATCCTTTGCAACCCCAACTGCGGCTTGTATGAGTTTCACCACTTTCAGTCGGATTGGATCCAGTTTTACACCAAGCTCGGCATCAACGTCTTCCTCTTCAACTACCGCGGCTACGGTATCGTCGTTGGCTCTGCTTCTGGATGCGGAAGCCGCGTTCTAGGGCGCACGAAAGGGTATCCGTCGCCGCACGCCAACAACCTCGACGGCATGGCGGTCGCCGCGTACCTGCGCAACGATAAGTCCATTCAGCGTCTCGCGATCCACGGCGAGTCGATCGGCGTACGATTGCTTTTTCTTGTAGAAGATGTGCCACGGCATGCGTAGGGCATGGTCGCGACGCATGTCGCCAAGCACGCGGACGGCATTGAGCTCCTCATCGCCGATCGCACGTTTGCCAACCTTCCCGCCGTCGCCCAGCGCCTCGTCGGTACGACCCTCCATCGGTCTCGGTGTTGACGCTTCCCATCGGAGCAGCGTCGTGGGCGGGCCGGGCACTGAGCTGCGTCACGCGCTGGCAGACTGACAACGTCACGAATTACTTGGACGCAACGTGCCACAAAGTGGTGTGCTGCGACCCCTGCGACGAGGTTGCCACGTCGCCAAGGCATCGATCGACATGACTTTGGCATTAGATTATCGCGGATGGCTCGTCGCTCAAAGCGGGTATCGCCCTAAGGCTTGAGCTCGGCGACTTGCAGGCGCAGACGCCAAAGGCGCGCCCCGCGGCACCGCGACGATTGGCTGCGTGCGCGCCCGTCGGCTACGAAGCCGTGAGCGAACTGTCGACCGAGGTTGTGATTGGTAGGTGCTTGGCCCACATCGATCGTCGAGCGATAGAGTCGTAGGCAAGCCGTTGACGGAGGCCATTGTGGCCAAGTTTGCACGACACCTCTTGCGGATCGCAGACCGCGCGAAAGATGCGATGGAGCTCGAAATGACCGATGCGACCGTCATTGACGTTGACGACGCGGGTCATGCAAAGGACCTCATTGCGCTCTGGAGTGCGATCGCGTCCCTCGACGGCCACTGCGGCCAGACGCTTTTTTACGCTGCCGGTACGCTCGCGAAGAAGAAGATGCAGCGCCCGATATGGCTCTATTAGGCAGCGGCCTCGAAGGCATTCGCGCGTGGACCACGTCGTTCATTGTGTGGGGGCCGTCGACGCGCCTTGCGGCCGTGCCCGTCGCGCGCCGGCCCCACGACTTTGTGACGCCGCTCCCGATCGAGCACGTCCGCGTCCTCCTGCAGCGGGTATGAATACCATGTTATACCGGCTACGACATGTCTACACGCCGGTACGCTAGGTGCAAAGCGCGGCGGCGTGGCTAACCACGGACGTCGACGCCAGCTACGTCATGGACATCATGGAGTACCTCTACGCATCGATGCAGGCTCGCAGCGCCAAGGCCACCGATGATGCGATGCTTGGCGCGCTCGTGCCGCTCAGCTGTGGCCACAACGCCAACTTTAGTGAGCAGGAAAAGCAAGCGCTGCTCGCGCACCTCGTCGCGTACAAGTGGGCTGAAGCCAGCTCTGCCGAGGACGAGAGCAGCAAGTAGCTCTAAAAAAACACACGTTGACGGCGCCACCTGGCAGTGAAGAATGGGTGCATGGCCTTGCCACATAAGCTCCCGTCACCTCTGCCACCGCCCGGCAGCATGGTCGTTCTATGCAGCGCCCAAGGCTGCGGCGTCTGCTTGGCATCGCGGAAGCACGTGGTCAGACCTCTTGAATTTCAGTCCCATCGCGGCGCCTTCTTCAAGCGTTGGCGGTGCGCCGGGCGTGTGTGCTCGCGTTGGTCACGGCGCGGTATCGCATATCATTGGCCAAAGTCATGGAATAGGGCGAATCAGAGCCGTGGATGGGAATAGACTTGGATTTTGTATGGTAGTCGGAGCCGATCAGCAAGTGGGCGCAAAATTTTCTCGGTGGCGACATTGCGTGCCATTCCGCAATTCCCACAGTCCCGATGAAGTTCACTGTACTCGCCACCCTTGCCGCCTGCGCCATGGCCGCCGAAACGACGACGACGACGACGGCTCCGCCCAAGGTCTCGATCGACTGCACGCAGGCGCAGATTGCGACCATCAACGCGCTCCAGGCCACGGAGACGTACATGGCGTGCACGAACGATGCGCAAAAGACCATCTTCAACGGCACGCCCGATGACATTTGCGCCGTCCCGTCGTGCGTCGTCGCCGTCCAAAACTTGGTCGGCAAGTTCCCGAGCTGCGTCTTTGACAAGAAGACGCCGATCAACGACATCAAGCCGTTCATCAAGACGTGCGGTGTCGACCCGAACCTCATTGTGACGACGGCGCCGGCCAAGTCGACGCGGCCTACGGCGACGCTCGCCAACGCCACGGACGCCAACGCCACGACGGTGCCCATTGTGACCGTCGCCGAAATCACGACCGCGCCGCGCACCAAGGTCGCTGCCGCGACCCCGACGCCCGCGCCGTCGGCTGCGGTTGCCAACTCGGCCTCGCTCCTCGCGATTGGCTCGGCGGCTTTGGCCTACGCCTTGGCCTAGATGTGCTACCAAGCGGATGCTCGCTTCGTCGTAGGCTCCTCGTGCTAGCACGACGTACCGCGTCCTGGATTCGTAGTATATTTAACCAATTGTCCTCGATCCTCGCCCATTGTTTCGTAGAGAAGAGCCAACGCGTGCACTTCGCGTGCTCGAACGACGCTAGCAACCGGTAGTATGGTATAGGGTCAAATAGCGACAAGAGATGGTCGGGCTGGAAAGGGCGGCTAGACGTAGCATGGCTTGTAAACAAAGCTTCGTCGCCCAGCCGATGTGTACGAGTACAGTGTAGAGAGCCTGCCCAGCTACTGTATCACCATCCACAGCCTTGACGGCACGACACTCGGCGGTGCTACTACTCTACGAATCGGTCGCCAGCGTCCTTCAATCGCTCCGGCGTCGTTCCCACCGCACCGATATTAGGTGACAAGTCACCCAACGAACGACCGAGACCAAATGCCAAGCCCTCGTACACCAGAGCCAGCTACCCGAGCCAAGGACCAGAGCCCTGCACGACTACGATGACTCCTTCACGCCACGGCGGATTCACATGCTCTTTGTACAGTACATACATTAACGTTACGACCTGAGGCGTCGAGCTCGCACTTGTCGATTGCCTTACGCGCTCGTGATGTTGGCGTGGAACTCGGCGATGCACGCGGCCAGAAAGGCCGACGCGTCGGTCATGTGACGCAAGTTCTTCTCCCGAAGCGCGATGCGGGCGTCCGGCGCCATTGCCTGGAAGACAACGTCGGGCACGAGCGGTACGATTCCGCCAGCGCTCTCTTGGATACCCGCCGGCGCGCCGGGGATTTTGTTGTTATGTGGGAGGGCATGGGGCGCCCTTGACCGCGTGGCTCGGCGCGGAGGCGAGCCGGCCTTGGAGACGACTTTGTCTATGTTGCCACGAGATCGCATGCGGCCTAGTCAGTTGAAGGAAGGTACCTCGTTTGGTCGAGGGCGCTGTGCTTTCGGTGGCGTTAGGTTTGGCGTTTTGCACCTCTGCAGGATTCTTGTCCGGGTCTTCTAGACGCACCATACCATGAGGCTGGCTGCTTCATAGATTCGTTTCGCGTACCATGGCTATTGAACGCAGCATGCGATGCTTGGACGTCCTTGGACGGTGATGAGAGCAATGCGCTCGTCGCTTTGGCGGGCGAAGCCACCGGAGAGAGAGCGAGGGTCACTCCCATGCTCCGGGACAGACTGATCATACACTCCTGGGGTGAGTGCACGGAGGGCTCCTCGGCAGGCGCTTCTTCGACCGTCGCCTTGGAAGGCTTGGCCTTTCTCGGTCGGCTGCGATTGCTCGAATAGTCGATCGTCTTGCGCTTCTTGCCTTTCGCCTTCTCTGGTACTTTAAGCGTTGACTCGTGGATGTAGCAGTTGAAGCCCGTCATGACAGACGCTTCGCCTCGCCAGATGGGCCGGTTTGGCACCAGCGGCTTGTCGGAGCGGCCTAGGAACACGAGGCGTCGAGCGCCACAGGGCCATACACAGCACGTCGTACTCGAGAGCGTTTGGAAGGGCGCGATGTCGTCAAGTGCCAGCCATCGGTTGTAGCGCTCGTGGAAGCCCACGTAGTGGACGCGGACCATGTTGGTCGTGCGGTTGATGTGCGTCACGACGGCCTCACACCACGTGCTGCGCTCGTCCTAGCCGCAGGCGTAAGCGACCAGCGTCGTCGGGTCTTGAAGTACCTTGGCGTCGACGTAGAAGCCGAGGTAGCGCTGCATCCGGACCTCGGTCTCGGTCATCGTCCTCCTTGTCAACGGCGGCCCAGAGAGGCGGCGTGTGATTGGCTCGTTGCCGGCCCGCCAAAATAGCCGGTGCATGATTGGTGCATTCTTCATTCCGGATATAGAGCCCCGTCGACATGGTACCATAACCTGGCTTGGCGGACGACGTACATCATGGATGAAGGCAACGCCGCGCTGAAGCTGCCGCGATGGTCGTCGGCGCATTCTTCTTGACAATCCGAGATGGGGTTGCGTGCTTACCTAGCAAACGTAAAGCTACACTCTAACATGGTCTACAATCACGCAACTTTCGTTTCCAGCGGCGGAAGCGTTCCAAGCCACGAGGGTGCTGCAACGCTGCTCTCGGGCTCTCTTCGACTAGCGAGGTAAACTAACTATTTGCTGGAGGAGCTTGCGAGTGTATGGTGAGGCGATACGATACCACCCTTGGGATTGCAATAACAGTGGCGGCTCGACATCGCGTGTCTAGCGTCGTATCCGGTGATACATCCGGATACAATCGAACGAAGATTCGACAAATCGAAGTGAGCGATGCGGCACCAGCACCACCGCGGAGGGCTGCGGCAGCTCATTGCGGGCAAGTACATCTACTTGCTCCTCGTTGCCTGCGCGATCTGCGTCTTTGGCCTCCTCTTTGAGATCTCGCAGCTCTCGTCTGCCTTCCAGGGAGAACCCAGCAAGCTCCATGCGGCCGACCACGCGCTCCCGGCTGCGTCGCGCTCGTCGCTCAAGAAGGTCGCGCCGCAAATCGACCACGCCATTGCCGTGGTCTTGACCAACTACCGCGACACGAGCAGTGCGTGGCCACGCTCACGTCTCTCTACGAGATGGCGGACGCACCGCATGGTCTACACCTCGTGCTCTTTGAAGAGATTGACGCGACGAGCGGTGACCCGAACGACGCGAGCTGCCTCGAGACGTTCTGTGCTGCGTCGCGCGATGTCTGCGTCGAGCACCGCGCGCGCATGGAGCACAAGTTTCGCCACGCGAAAGACCACGTGGGCCCGTGCCCGGCGCGGGCTCTCGCCGAGGCCATGGTTCCGTCGGCCTGGTTTACAGCGCCGAAGAACAAGTACTATCTATCGATCGACTCGCGCCTCGAGTTTGTCGACAAGTGGGACACGCTGCTGCTCGCCGAGTGGCGCCGGGCGCAGAACCCCCATGGTATTCTCAGCATCGCGCCGCCTGCGCTCGTCTCCAAGGCGTGGCCGATCGATAGCACCCAGAGCGCACTCATGTGCACAGCGCGTGTTTGGACCAAAGACGCGACTCTGGCGGCTGTCGATTTCAACCCGCCCGTGCTCGTCAAGCCGCCGTTCAAAGCGCCGCGCCTCAGCGCCCAGTACGCCGAGAGCTTCCATTTCGGGCCGATCCACGCACTCTCGGCGGCGCCGGCCGACGCCAAAGCGCTCTACGTCTGGCACGGCGACGCGTACCACCGGGCGACGCGGTGGTGGACGGCAGGCTATGATTTCTACGCCCCGTCTCTCGTGATCGCGTATGCCAAGTACGTGCCTCGGGTGTTGCACCCGCTGCAGTTGCCGCAATGGGATGCCCCGTCGCCGGACCCGCTCGCAGGTATTAAAACCACGCAGCGCCAGAGCTACGCGCACCTGCAAGCGCTGCACAATGGCGCTGCCAACGTCGGGTCTAAGCGCTCGTTCAAGCAGTGGGTCGCCTTTAGCCACGTATACCCGACGGCCGCCTACGACATGGCGACAGACAAGCAGTTTATGGCGTGCAATCCACTCTCGTATGTGTCGCCCAAGACGACGCGCTAACGGTTGAATGTTTATTCAGTGCTGCGGTGTACACACGACATATTGTCTGTCGTCTTGAAGACAAAATACAAAGTGGCATGCCAAGCTTTTTATTTTCGCTGCAGCTGGCGTTGCAGTGCGTCGAGCTTGGTGTCGGACCACGGCGTCCCGACTTCGCTGTCGGGCTGCGGTAGCTTGGGTATTTCAAAGGCGACGGACCGCTTGATCGGTGTAGTACTCGTCGTGCTGCGCGGGGCATCGTCGTTGTTGGAGCCAAGCAGCTTCGAGTCCGAGGCGCTGTGGGGACTTGCTAGCAGCTGCATCTTTTTGCTATGTAAAGTCGTCTCTTAGCACAGAAAAGACGATCGAAGATGAAGGATGTACATGGGCTTGAGCACATACGAGTCGGTCGGGAGCTGACCCGTGTCGAGCGCCATTTGCCACTTGCAGCGCAGTACGTTGAGCTCTTGGCTGAGCTTTTTGACCTCCTTCTGCGACGTTGTTCGCGTCCAATCGAGCTTGTTGCGTAGCTCAATGTACTTTTCGTCCATGAGCCGCAGTTGGTCTTCGAGGATCTTGCTGCCATGCTGCAGCTCGCCCATGGTTTTGTCTTTGGCTGCCATCTTCTTGGTCAGCTGGGTCACGCTCTCGACGAGGTCGCGCCGCTCGCTCTCAAGCGACCTGACGCTCTCGAGCGCCTTGGTTTTGGCCGCCGCCTCGTGCTTGAGGTGGATCATGAGCTTCTCAATGTGCTCGGAGAGCGCGACGATCTTCTCGTTGGCTTCAACCCGCGCCTCGTCCGACTTGGTGCGGAGCTCCTTCTCGGTGCGCTGGCGACCCGCGAGCTCGGCGGTTTTCTCCTTTAGCGCCTTGACGTCGTCCATGGCACCGACCGCGGCCTGAAGCTCCTTCTCGAGCTCGGACGAGCGCTCGACGAGTCGCTTGTTGCGGCTGCGGAGAAGTCGCATTTCACGCTCGAGCTTGCTCAAGCTGCTCAAGCCCAAGTCGGCGTTGACTTCGCTCGGCGCCTCCGACTCGTCGAGGAGGCTCAGGCACTCGGCTTCGTTCTTGAGGCGAAGCCGCACGAGTTCGTCGAGCCGGACGTGCTGGTACAAGGACACGTCGACATTGGGACCTGCAATGCCGCGAAGCAGAAGCACGCGCGCGTCTGACACGTCCTTCTTGGCGACAAGCAGCGCCGTCTTGCATTTGGTCAGCGCCTCCGAGACCGACAAAAGCTTCTCGCCCTGCGCGACGAGCGCCGTCGATTTCTCAAAAAGCTCGTTCTGGAGCTCTTGGAGCGTCTCGCCAAGCCCTTTCGCATCGCGCTTCTTCCATGTCTCCAATTCGGCGTTGAGCGCGCTGTTTTGAGTTTGGAGTGACGCCACGGACGCCTCGACAGCGGCGAACTGCGCCTTGGCGTCGACCAGCGTCTGCTCGTGCTCGGCGCGCAACGACGCAAGGCGCTCGTCGCGCTCGGCCAGCTCGCTGCGCAAATTAGCGCTGCTCGAATCCATCGTGGACTGCGCTTCGGCCCACTGCGCTTCGAGCTCGTTGGCGCGCGTGACGGCCGCCGTGAGCTCGAGCTGGTACGTTGTCTCGGCGATGCCACCGCGCTCGATGCTCTCGTCGAGCGTTTTGATGTGTGTTTGGAGCTCGACGATGTACGCGTCCAGCTGCGTCGTGTGCTCTTGGGCGGCGAGAAGCTGGCTCGAGACCGCGTTGTACTGCTCTAACGTTTGCTGTTCGTTGGCTTGAGACGTCGCGAGTGCCATCTCGAGCGCGTCCTTGTCTTGCTGCAAGGTCGTTGTCGCAGCGAGGAGCTCGTCGGCGCGGGCCACAGCAGTCGCAGCCTCCGCGTCGGCCTGCGCCCGGAATCGCTTCTCCATCTCGATCGCGGTTTGCATCTGCGCCTTGTCGGCGGCTGTGCGCTTGTTGAGGTTCTCGATCTCACGGTGGAGGTCCTCGACCTGCGCCTCGAGCTCCTTCTGTCGGTTCGCCGGCGGCATCGCGGCCCCGACGCTGGTTTCGACCTCCCGCAGCTAAAATTAGTACAGACAGGCCGCGTCGCGTACAACCCTAACCCATACTACGAGCGAGCGCAGGCCGGTGCACTGTAGTACGCCTTGGTGGGCGATATTGATATCGCGGTACCACTTGGCAAGCCCACATGGATGTCTGTACATGCGAAGCTGTGGCCATAACACTGCAGACCCTTTGCTAGACGAGTAAGAACGCGCCGGAAACACCCATTTACAATAAGGCATGACGCCCGGCGAGCGAATGAAGGAGATGATAGATGACGCCAAAGACATTCATAAAAGTTGGGTCGCGTCACTGGTGCTTAGACGTTGGGCGCTTGGTTTGCTTGATACCGGACAAGAGGCTTACGCGGCGCAGAAGCTGTAGGCTGAGCCAGCGTGATTGCCTAGTGCATCCGCGTGAGGCTAGCGTGGGCGAGCATACCAAGCGCACCGGAAGAGCGGCAGCTTGATCGAGCCGATCGATTCGCCGGTCGGCGGGTCCGATGTGATGGCTAGCAACAGAAACTACGTCGCCATGAGCAACCAATCAGGGCCTTGCAGCGTACGACGGGGAAGAAGACGGCGAAGAGGCCTTTGCTGATAAAGTTGGGTGCGAAAAACGTCGCGAGCGTAAACGGGCAGCCAAACCCTGCAAAGTAAGCCCTACAATACAAATCACGCCACCGATCGACTCGACAATACGCCGCGTACCAGTGCTGCTCCATGATGGCGAGACGCTTCTCGAGACCCCAGCCGTGCAGCGACCACTTGTACTCGAAACAGTAGAGTGCGTAGAGCCAGCTGAGGTAGACAAAGCTCAAGAACGGTCCGACGACCGGCACAAAGTAGCTCAACATCGTTTGGCCGAGAAAGAACGCTACAAGGATCGCTCGGTACAGCTCGTCGCTGTGCCATCATCGATGAGCCAGGCTAAACCGAGTGATGTATACCGGATCATTTCCCGCACGGCGGTTGGCCGCGGTTGACCGTAGTGCAAGAGGTAGGCTATCACAAGCATAAATGCTGAAGCACAGCGTAGAGTGCTACCATCGTCGGCAATGTCTTGGTACCAAATCGTGTTGAGGATGAAGCTAATGCAGTAGATCGGGTACATCCACAGGCCCTAGTAGCGCCACGTCACATCACGTCTATGAGCACACGAGTACCTGGTATAAGACAAAGACGACCAAGTCGATCTGCTCGCGGTAGTAGTCGGACGCAATATCCGTCGCATGTTGCGAGAGCGACGCCGTGAGCACGTCACCAAACAAGTGAATCACGGGCATGACAACAAACTCGAAGAAGAAGATACTGCCGAGGAAGAGGAGCCCGTTGAGGCCCAGGCACTTGGCCGAGCACTTTCGAATGATGGGCGAGCTCCAGAAGAGCGTCGCGATTCGATGCAGCGAGATCGCATCCTGGATGCCGGCGCAGAACGACGTGTACACCTCCTGGACCACCTCCATCGCGCAAATCCTGTTCTCGTTCTCCACGTCCGGATACCGTGCCACCGGGTTTTCTCCGGGAAATAAATAGTGTGTGCTTCTCGCGCTGCGTGTCTCCGTCTCGTACACGTCGCGCTCGTACGACGCGCTATCTTGCTAGCTGCCTTGTTGCTGTATATTGGCTGAGCAGGGCTATGCGCACGCGCTCGTTGGCGCATCGTCGCACGCTCTTCGACGCTTGACACTGATCATTAACGCTATCTACAATCTCACACTATATGAAATTGGCGTCTCTTGAAGATTCCCCAACACAAAAAGGCCGCGCGAAAATGGCCCACGAGCCGTACACGGTGTCCAAGATGCTCGACTCGATCAACGAGTCGATGCAAGGCGTCGGTGGCAAAGTCCAATTGAAGCGCGACGTCGGCAACGGCATTGCGCTCGACACGTGCGCGTCACGCCCCTTGCAACTCTCGCTCACCCTCGACGACTAGATCCGAAAAGGAAATCGCGTATCTCGACACGCAGTCCAAGATCAAGTCGTCGGCCGAGCGCGCCGCGCAGCTGACGCCCGAAGGCAAAGCCGCGTGGATCGCTGCCCACCGAGAAAAGGGCAACGAACTGTTTCGCGCGGGGGCGTTCGCCGAGGCTAGCGATGCGTACCTCCAAGCGCTTGCGGGCCTCGACTTTGGTGCAGACAAGCACACAGTGCAAGTGACCATACAAAACCCCATCACGTGCAACGTCGTTGCGTGCATGCTCAAGCTTGAGGTACTCTCTTCTACTTTAAACGCTTGCTCGAGCTGGAACTAGCAATGGGGCAAAGCCGCGCAAATGTGCAACCTCGTGCTACAGTCGGAGCCGACCAACATGAAGGCGCTGCGGCAGCGCGCCAAGGCGTTTATGCTCCTTGAGCGCTTTTCCGAAGCTCGGTGCGCGGACAATCGGTGGATTTTTACAAAATTCAGCTCCAAATTGATGTAGCGCCGACTTGACAACGGCGACAGAGCACGCCGGTAGCGAGAGCGAGCGACTCGAGCTGCAGCGCCAGTGCGCTGCGATTGACCGCTCGGAGCTTGTGTCGAAGCACCAGCGCTCGAGTCAGCGGCAGTTTGAGAAGAACATGATGAAGCGCGTCGGTAGCCTGTACGACGACAAGAAGACCGTTGCAGTGGCACGCCCGACCCCGCCAGCGTCGACGCTGCAGCGCGTGTGGCACTACATGTGCCAGCTCTTTCTCTGGTGTGCCCAAAAGCGCAAAGCTGCGTGATGTAAATACACTGTCTAATCAATACACTGTGTGAAGCCAGCGTATCGGGTTGGTTTTGGCGTAACGCACGCGGGAACGATTGCACAAAAATGGTGCTTGAGATCAAGCCGTCCCACGCCTCGATCGCGGAGCGCCGGCAGCTGCGCAGACACGCGCAGCCCGAGCACCAGTACACGGGGTATACACACTTGAGTTTTGAAATTGGATTATTCGATATTATCATCTCGCTGGGTAGGCACGTGCCGCCCGACCCGCGTGACGTTGACGTAGCACCGGCTCCGGTGCGAGGCAAGATCAAGCACGCGATAGTCGGCTATCAAGGTGCAGTCGTGGTGGATGTAGTACGAGATTAGACTGATAGCATGGGCAGGGCACCGCCACAACCGCGAAGATATGATCGGCGTCACGTTCACAAAGGGCCTTCAAGTGTGCACACCGGCGACTACGCGTAAATTGCATCCGAAGAAACGAAGCGGAGAGAAGGAAGGCTCGGGGTACGGGCAGTTTGACGAGATTAGTGGCTACGGCGAGTTCCAAGCGCCACCGTCGCAGCACTCGATCGACGTAACAGCAGTCAAGCAGCACACCCAACCGTTGCGCCAACCGTCGAGCAAGCCACCCGATCAGAGCAGCGAGCCAAATAAGCACCTTGCAACGACTGGGTCAGCCGATCGCGATTTCAAGAACACAAAGGACAGCGGGCAACGCTCTGCACCATCAGGCAAGACAAACCAATCTGGCTACGGGGCATTCCAAAAGGCTAGCCAGTGTGGTGAGCAGTTTGCTGCTCCACCGAACGCGAAGGCCGAGTCTGGCTACGGTGCTTTCCAAAACGCCAGCCACTCTGCAGAAAGATCACAGAACCGCGCGCTGCCGCTGCGCCGGCAATTGTATTCGACGACTTTTGCAAAGACGAGGCGACGCGAAAAGCCTATGAGCGAGCGCTCGCAGCTGTCGGTGGCGCCCCAAAGCTCTCAGGCATCGCATCGGCGATTGCAGCTGCGCTGCGCCAGAAGCTGACGAAGAAGGGGGCGCTGCAGAAGCGGCTTCAATTTGCGTTTGAACACGTCGCGTACCCAGGTACAAAGTGTCGACGGTCATTAACTATGTCTACATGGGTACTGTAGACGGATCGGTGGACCGACGTCGGCTGCAAGATGCCCTTAGCAGCCTCAACTGCAGCCTCACCGACGACGAGGTCCGCGTCTCGCAACAGCCTTGCCTCATGTCTCACGCTGTAGCGCACGGCGCTCTTTTGCCAGTTTGATCCGACGTGCAGCGGTAGACAGCCTCGTGACATCCCACGTTATCATTTTCATCACGCTCTTAGGTCGCGTGTCCATCAACCACTTGATCACGCTCATTGCCCACCACGCGACCTTGTAATGTCAAGAATAAATAATCAAATTGCTACTGAATTATGCCTGCCGCTGCAACACACTTTCTAGCCACGCGCGCTCTTCGCTTGTGAGGTCATCGATCTTGGATTCTGGCAGTAATGGTGTTGAATTGGGATCCGGCGCCGTCGCTTTGAGCGCCGGGGGCGTCGTCGGGGGGCTGGCGAGGCGGCCGCGGTGGCCTTTGTCAGGCGATGGGACGAGACAAAGGCACCGAGCGCACGCAACGTATGATAACTTGGTGGCTGGGGTCGAGCGTTGTGGCCGCAAGACTGGGGGCGTGGCGGCTGCGGTGCGCGTGGCAGGCGGAGAAGCTCGTCGAGAATGTGCAGATCGACCAGCGCCAGGTCCGTGTGGGGCTCACAGTACATAGCAATCGCCTTCCACTAGATCCCACCGCATAAGAGACGCCAATTTACGCAATGGCGCGTACCTCATCCGTCGTCAAGACGATACCTAGCGAGGTCGCCAGCGTCGAGAGGTAGTTGATGTGCACGCACGTGTGCTGCGGGTGCATCTCGTGCTCTATCAAGAGCGTTTCCAGCGATGGCGTGTGCTCGGATGTCGTCTGGACAAGCTGCATTCGAAGCTTCTCCAAGCTGCCAGAGATTGTCGTTGGTGGCACCGACGTCCTTGGCGTCTACAGCAGGCATTCTAACTTTGAGAGGTCGAGATGCCACGGACCGAAGTCGGCGAAGGACGCAGCAAGCACGCTGCAGAGTTGGGCCGAGGTTTCGACTTCAAGTGAATAGCTCCAGCCATGGGGGCTTCTGATTAAGCCACGTCATGTGCATTGCTTGGTATCGCACGGCTGTACCTGGGACTGTGGACGCTGGCGTCGATGCAAGCGTCTGTCTGCGTGCGCTGCGAAGGACAGTGCTGGCAGCGCTCGACGGCCGCAATGGCTGGACGAGCGCGACATTGGGGGACGGCAGAACGGGTGTGGCCTCGGCAGGTCGCAACACTGAGAGCCGCGGTGTGGCCGAGGTCGCCCTTCGATGCGCTAGAGACGCATGACTTCATCTTACATTCAAGCTGCATGCGGTACCGATGCTGAGGCGCGTCGACCGTCGCGCGGTCGTGGGCTGAACCGCAGGAAGCGCATGCTGTGGCGTCAGCATGGCTTTGGCGTTGATGGAGCGGCAGCACGTTTCGCACACCTCGGTCGTCTTGTACCTATTCATCCACCTGAGAAAATCGACAATAATGTCAAACGGGGTACAGAAAGGACGCGGTCTTGGTCAGTGCCAAGTACTTTTCGACACTGAGCGCCGTATTTGTCGACTGAATGATGTGCGGGATCGTATACTGGTGGAGCTCGAGCGAGTCGTCCGAGTTTTGCGCATGGGCGGCTATGATGGCTTTGTACGTCACCTAGCCGCAAACGGTCATGTTGACACAAAACAAGTGGCCACCCACGAGGAATGTCACTTGACTCTCGCTCGCATCGCGGTCAAGGCGGTGGCACCCGGGGCACTTGCGTCGGCGTCGGTGGGTGTTGGGAGACGGCGCCACGGTCATGAGTACGCCAGGGTGCAGTGCGAGCTCGAATGGCGGCAAGACGTCTTCGTTTTGAAAGAGAATCGTCGACGGGTACAAAAAATAGAGGTGGTTGTCGAGCCCAATCTACAGGTCGTTGAAATTCACGGCAATGCAATAATGGCGAGGGCAAGAAATTACCTTGAAGTAGAGCGTCATGCGCGTTGCCTCCAAGCCAATCGCGAGGTGGATCTGATCGACGATGTCGTCGTTGATGCGCTTGAGCTCTGCGAGCAGCGTCGGGCTCGCCATCGGCTCTACGTCGAAGCGTGAGACTTGGGAAACGACGCGCATTTATCGAACTCTTGGTGGTGACGTTGGCGGCGCCTTCAAACGTTGCGACGCGGTCGTTGAGCGACACCATGTGGTTGATCATGAGGTGGACGTTGGTGGCGCGCGTCGCGAGGAAGCTGCAGCCGTCGTGCGAGTAGACCGACTCGATCGCAGTGTTGTAGCCCGACTTGGGCACGACAAATGCCTGCAGCAAGCCATGCTCGACAGTCGACACCTTGAAGAGCAGCGACTCTAGAGCCGAACGCGTCAGCAACACACCTCTTCTACAAGACGGATATGTGGACCGAGGGCCGGGAGACTCAGATGCTCCGTGTACAGAACGCGCTCGTCGTCGGTCTTGACCGAGTGGACAAACACGGCTGCGATACCAGCCGTGAGCTTTTCCTGGAAGAAGCGAAAGACGCGGTCCTTTGTGAGCTTGTCTCGCTTTCGCCGCAGAATCTAATGACCAAGGTCAGCAGCACTCTTGCCAGGATGATGCATGGTGGCTGACCTCGCCGCGCTTGGAGGTGAAGAACCACTGCTGGAACCGACCTTGCTCAATCACGATCGTGTCGGGCATACGCAGCAAGAGCGGCCGCACTGTCGTCGCCTTGAACCACAAGCACGCAAAGAGGTCGCTCGGGTTGTGGTCCGGCCGAATGTCGAGCGGGTGGGCGCCGCCGCCATCCGAGCTATTTTGAGCCGAACGTCGTTATGCGACAGGAAGGGCTGGCTCGAGCACGAGGTGTCGACACCAAGGGCTTATTCCCTTGGTAGTCACACTCCTCGACCTCGTGATGTTGTATTGGGCCGTGCGAAATGACGTGGCAGTAGGACAAAGCAGCGATTGTGCATCAGCCTCTTGATTGGCAACGGTCTCGACATGCGACTCGCCACTGTCAAGCCCTCTTTTAGAGTGCACTGTAGTGGAATAGACATTGGCTTACCACCAGATACTGGTAGATCCGTGTTCGATTCCTAGTGATTCTCCGTCCGTCACTACATCCGATTCTGTCGTCTTCAAGTCGCAAGTGGACGCACGGTACTTGCCCTCATCGCCACTGCAGCACCTCTTTTGCAAGCTAAAGCAGCTTCCAGAAAAGACCAACTCCATATTTCCGGCAGCCGCTTTCGCTGTCGTGCAAAGTACAGTAGGCAGTTCACAGCGAACGCTCGCGGCCTATGGCTTGTCGAGTGATCGGGTGCTGGCGCATGGCGTCGCCGCCACTCATGCTGCCGACTACATGTCCTTAAACTATTTACAGAGCGTTGATCTACCATAAGCACACGAGGCTAGAGTAGAGCCGTGCAGTCATTTGCATGCCTCCGCTGGTAGTTCCAGCGAACGTTGGGACAGCGCGCATGCTGATTCGCATTTTATTTAATTCGTCAACAATTGCATTTTATTCGTTGCCACTTTGCACTTTAAGCACGAAACGGCTTGCAGCATGGCCGACGACGGGGACTATGACCTCTTCGGGCCGCCGCCGCCGACCAAGCCGACCGACTCGTACGAGAGCCTCTTCCCACCGGCGGCTCCGAGCAACGACGTTGGCAACGAGCTCTTTCCTGCGGCTGGCAGCACGTCGACATACGACGACCCGACGCCGCTCATCCCACCGACGCCGGTCCTCGCCCGCGGGCCCGCGCCGCCGGCGTACGCCCGCCAAACCACCGACGACATCAAGAAGGCCGGCAACGCAATCGACATAATCCTCGTGCGCAACGAGTCGGGTACCGCGATTGCCTGCACGCCATGGGTCGCGGCCTTTTCGTACTCACGCTTCTCGTCGAGCAGCGCCGGCGACCACGTCGACGTGTTCGTGAACGGGCGCAAGCTACCGCTGCCCATGGTTCTTGGCGACAAGGGCCGGTGCGCCTTCCCGTCCGGTGCGTTTTACAGGTCACATGATGGCCTCGTCCGACGCTCCTGCGTTGTGTAGGGCAGGACACGCCGCCCGACGACGTCCTCGCGTTTCTCAACGACATGATCCCGCTCGACGACACATCGCCGTTCGCAAGCGTCCGCTTTGAGCACCGCAAGCGGTACACAGTCTCGGTCCGGTACGTCGAGTGCCGCCTGTACGTGTGGGGGCCCGACGACGCGGTTGTGGTCGCCGACCTCGACGGGACGATCACGATCAGCGATGTCGAGGGCCACATCCGCACGCTGCGCTTGGGGCAGTACGACTTTATCCATGCCGGTGCGTGCGCGTTCTTCTGGAAGCTGCATGCAATGGGTCTTCGCATCTTGTACTTGACCGCGCGGCCGATCCACTGGGCCGACTCGTCGCGGGAGCACCTCGACCAGGCAGCGCAGCCGCCGTACAAGCTGCCGCCGGGACCGCTCGTCACCAATTCAAGCGGCTACACGGGTGCGCTCCTCACCGAAGTCGTCAACAAGAACCCGAATGTCTTCAAGCAAAACGTGCTCAATTCGATCCAGCTCGCAACCATTCATGGCGGCCGCAAGTCGGCGCATCCGGTGTTCGTCGCCGGATTCGGCAACCGCCCGACCGACGTCGTGGCGTACGAAGCGGTCGGGATCGATGCGGCGGCCATCTTCCTCATCGACCCGACGTCGAGCCTCAAGGCCGTGCGCGGCGCCCAGGTCTTCGAGTCGTACGCAGACCCGGAAGCGCTTCTCTGGCTCCTTCCCAAGCTCAAGCCCATCGTCCCGTTTGGTCTCCGCGACACGATGGACAGCTACTTTGCGCACGAGGTCGTGGACGCCGAAGAGCGCAAGGCAGCCCGTGCGATTGCAAAAGCCAAAGCTCTCGCCGCCGACGCGCGGTCCTTGTCGCGCACGCTCAGCAGCAGCAGTAGTACCAGTAGTGCCAGCGCGCTTCGGCGCCAAGGCAGCAGCTCCAATTCGAGCAGCAGCGCTCGACGCTCCACCCGTCGTTTGCGCTGCACCCAAACCGAACC